TTTCGCGGTACACTAACCAGGCTATTTACATTTCCAGCAAAAACTTCATTAAAAAATCATAGATTATACCAGACTTTACTAAGGCTGCTATTTCTCAAGCTAAGAGAAGGTGGACAAAAAATTGCTTTCTATACAGAACCCTGCACAATGAAGTAAATATGAGAAATATAAAAGGGCTGGCACAGTGGCTCTGTGGGTGGCACTATCGCCTCACACATCCAGCTTTCGCTTTGAGTCCCCAGGGAGCTCTGTTTTCCTTCTGCAGTACAAAAACATGCATTTAGGCTAATTTGTGTCTCTAAATTAGACAACAATATGTGTTTCTTGAAGCAGACATAGGCAACCTCTTGTGTATACCCCAGCCCAGAGCTCCATGCTGCCTGTAATAGATGACCATGACCAGGATATACAGATGGCTGTATCGGTTAAAGACATACAGTAGACACAGATATATGATTTTTATTATTTATTTAAAAATTTTAGGCAGAAATTTTTGTGTATCTGAACGATGATGACTTGAAGTAATTGTTTTTCTATAATCACTGATTGGTTTCTGGCATCTTTGAAGGATTTTCACTCATTCCTCATTGGTCAAACTAGTGTGGATTGCAGTGCCATCTGATGTGGCAATATATTATTGTTTCAAGTGGATACAGGTCAGAAAGAAAACTTCTTTCTGCTGAATCTTTCCGTAGTACAATTGTAGATTTACTTTAATGCTGCAGGTCTTTGTCTTGTCCTGATTTATTCCAGATTAAGCTCCTAGATTGATGGCTTGAATTTCAGTTCAGTCATTCTCCAGTATTCAAGTTCAATTTTCAAATTCAAATTTTATTTGTCACATACCAGTCATACATACAGTATGACTCGCACTGAAATGTTGTTTGGTATTCCATGACATAATTGCAACAATGGGATACAGATGTAGCAGGGCTAGACAGAATTAGATAAGAAATTGCACATGGGAATCTAACAGTTGGGCGGGGGGGGGGGGGGCGGCTGCAGATATCATGAAGTACAGATGCAGTAGTATGTGCAAATAGTAATACAGTATGTGCAAATAATAAAGCAGTCCAACAATGGGCAGACAGAGTTCTGTAAGTATCACATAGTTTTGTAATGGGGGATTAACAATTAAATTAGTCCTGGGTGTTGCCCTGGTTGAGGGTCTGAATGGGGTGTGGGATGGAGCTCCACCTTGTTCACAAGTACTTCCCTGACCTCGGGAGAGAGAAGAGTCCATTGTTTGGGTGACTGGGGATTCTCTTTTCTCTCTTAATTCAATGTTCCCACACTCATGTTGCAAAGGATGCATAGTTGAAGAAAGGCCACCCCAGGTTATGATATTCATACTATTATTGCATACATGGATAGAGTTTTTGATAGAGTTCTCCAAGCATTGCATTTTTAATCTGGCTTTAACAGGTACATTTTGGACTCATCTTTTAAGAGAACAGACATTCATAAATGTTGCTCCCTCCTGACTACAATTACATATTTTTCAATAATTTCCTCTAGAAATAAATTGGGGAATAAATAAGTAAATAGGCACCTTGGTTCTGGGTCCACTTAAATAATAGCAACTAAGTTGTCATAATTGCAAAATGGGTTTACAAACTTTCTAAATTCAAAGTTTGTCTTATACTATGAAATATGTATGTAATGGCACTGGGGTTAGGGGACACAGATTTGATCATCCTTCTAATGAAATATATCTTTGAAAATTGTTATACAGTATACCAAAGCTGGAGAGATCATTTGGAGACGTCTGGGCTGATGAACTGATCGATATGTTATAGCTTAACATTATACAATTTTGGTTACTATTGACAGTTTAGCTCTATGCTGTGTAAACAGAAGGCAAGCATTTACTTGTGCATGTATGATTGTGACTGAAATAATTATTTAAGAATGCCAAAAAAAAGGAAAAATTTGCCACTTAAGAATCGGAATGTTAAAGTATTATGAATGCATGTGTATGTAATTGCAAAACAACCAACAAATGCAGATTGCAATATTTTCAGAAAAGGGCTTTTTTTTTCCAGAGGTGTGTTATGTTTTAGGTTTCCAATACCATTTTGTATCAGGAGTGGTCTATTTTTAGAATATATAGATATATAAATATATTTTTTAGAAAATAAACAGTGGTCTATTTTTAGAATACAGCAAATCATTCAATCAAGTTATAATGAAGGATGCATAACTTCTTAGCATTTCTCCTGTGAAAAATGGAAATTTTTCATCATAACTATTTAAACAGATGGTGCTTTATCACTGCTTTTTTGGCCAGTTTTCCAAAGTTGATACAATTTTGTAACCTGAATATTCACTCATTTTATCAAGAAATGATTACAGTATATTGATTGAGTGCTAGTGTGTTTGATTGTGTCAGAGACTGGCATCGTGTTTAGGATGTCCACTTCCTTCTGCCTTATCCAGCCTGTGATGGGTTCCAGACTCACAGCAGTCTCGAACTAGACAACTGGTTATTTGAGATGGAAAAATTTAATATTTATAACTGATTTTGCCACATGGGAAGTAATGAATTAACATTTTTATAGGGATGGCAGCGATCCAATACCCGGCAACGGAGAGTAAGGAACTGATCCGATTTTTCATCAGAGATAGGTCTAGCCTGAAACTGTAAAAATTTCTGGAGCCTTACCGTGACATAGGGCCTACCATAAACAGAACTGTAGGTCATCATGATGGCTTGTTCAGCGAAGCATGTGCGTCAGAGTTGACGTGTCAGCTGTATGAAAATGCAGTAATCCCTTCATCTTTGCACATTTGACATTCACGCACTTTGTTGCTTCAGTTTTGGTTATTTGCGAGTTGACTGTGAACAATTGAGCGGGAACATTTTTGGAGCTTGCAGAAAGATCGCAGAACCGCACAGGTAATGCATAAGCGAGAAACAATACAGAAAATTATTTGGATCACATAAAATCATATAATACATAAATATCAGTGATACATAATATTTGTTAATGTAAGTGCAAACTATATCTTTAAAATGAAAACTGTTGGCTTGGGTACGCCACCCATCTATGTCACGGCAACCAACCTGACTGTGTGACGGCGGAATCTCGTGTTTGTCACAGTACCTTTTTATTGCTGTTAATTTTGCATTTTTAATACTGAGTCCAAAACGTAGTGCTCTCAGTGCAAACAGCAGTAATTTTGTATATACAGCGGCATAATTTTACAGAAGTCCAGAGAGGACACTCATGATTGTTTTTCTTCTTCCTGTTGTCTCAATATCACGACTTATTTTTCTCATGATCTCAATATAATAAAAGTTATCTCAAGATCGCAACTTTTATTTTTTGTTATCCTGATGTGGTGATGTAGACGACCACCATAACTTCACTGTTCATGCCGCAGCATCAGCACAAAGGACTATGCTGTTGAATATACTCCCTGTTTGAACCCTAAAATGAAAGTTAATAATCAGAATTACTCTTAATGTTTTGTTTCTTTCCATTACTGTTAACTATTTAGTAGAGATCTAGTGAGTAGTAATCATTACCTGTCTATAAATATGTCCTCTCAATTACAGATGTAAAGTTACAATGCTTTAACAGCTCAACCTTGTCTATTGTAATCTTCCCATTTCTTGGAAAATTAATTCAAAACTGTGATTTAGTTGGTCACTTTTTCTTAAGTAATGAACACTAATATGATTATTGTATAGCGCTGACAGACAGCTATTTCTACTTCAAAATAAAATCGAAGGCGTTTAGGTCCATGATGATCATGTATAGCCAACCAGCCTGGTAAACATGCTGTAACATCCCGGGTGAAAATAAGTTGTGATCTGAAGATAACAGATAACAAAAAAATTAACTTGTGATCTCGAAATAATAAGAAAAAAATAATGATGAAAATGTGTGCTCTCTCTGGACGGTGAGTGGCTCAGTGGGCTTAGACTCTGTGCCTATGATCAGAAGATTGACCATACAGTTCCTGGGGGGCTGCACATTGGCTGACTCTACGCTGTAACCCCCAAACTATGGAGAGCAAGATGGGGTCACCAAAGAGAAACATTCCGACGTACCTGAACTTGTGCAAATGGCAAATAAAGCATGTTTGTTTGATGGTTTGTATATCATATGAAAAGGTCTTGCTATGCATTGAGAAAATAATTTGACATGCAAAGTGTACAGTACAGTCCAGTTTGAGAAATTGGTAATATGTAATTTTTTTTATGTCATCGTTCAGCCTAGCAGACTGTCATGGGTTGAGGTTAGTGGTGCTTATCTTCCCTGAATTCACTTTCACTCATTCACATTCACATTCATATTCACGCTTGTGGGGATCTTCTGCCCCTAACCCCTGCCAATGTGAAAGCTGTACTTTGTGCTGAAGAAAGAAAAAAACAGGAACTGTAGACTGCAATGCATGTAAGGCTAGTGCTGATTTTTCTTTAGTCTGAACACAATGATACAAACTAGATGTCTTCAAACTTGTATTCTTTCTAAAGTGTGGTTAATTTCTGCGGAAAAGTTTTATCTGTGCACCATTATGTATTTTGTACTCAAGACTTATGTGTGACTTATGTGGTTAGTCATGGTTAGTTGGGGTATACAGTGATATTTTTGTGATTGGTTTCTTTATTATATTTAATTTGGCAACAGATTGCACAATTTGCAGTTTGAGAAATATTTCTGGTCATTTTTGTGGAAGGTATTACTGAATAAAACAAAGACGCAGACTTGTGTAAGCCATGTTAGCTGTGGATTTCTTCCTGTAGTGTACCGGCAAAGTTTTTCTTGAGTAACATGACAATTATATTTTCTGTTCTCATCATACTCAAACAGTGCTACTACAACACTACATGCATATAGGTTGCTATGTTAATTGAAATGTTTTGATACAAATATTTCATTTAATGCTAGGTAATTGATAAAGGGGAAAAAATGTCGGATTGGTATCAGCAGATGCTCAAAATTGGGATCGGCCGTCTCTAAATTTTTACATTGTTTTTGTCTTGACAGGCTGGAATAATTCGCACTGACTCAGATGAATACTTCATTGAGCCCCTGGAGAGGGGAACTCAGGAGCAGGAAAAGGAGGGGAGAGTCCATGTGGTTTACAGAAGATCAGATGTTCTGCATTCTTCTTCAGGCACGTCAATAGACTATCAGGTCGTTGGTATGTTTTCTTCTTTTACTAGCATTCGAAATGGGTTTATTTGTAATACAAGTATCTCAAAGAGAAACTATCTGATGTAACACATGATATAGAACAATACACCATGGATGTTTTACAGACTTCAGATCACTAAATGAGTACAGGACAGACTTCATCATCAGGGCCGTCAGAGGGGCATGGATACCCTGGCAGACTCAGGGGGCCCAGCACTTGTCAGGGCCCCTTGAATATGTAACATTATACATAAAATTGGATTGGGGGGGGGGGAAGGCTCAGAATTCCTAGGTTTGCCCCTTGGTGTAATGCAGTAATCTTTTTCCATTTGTTAATTGGTTCTCATTTGTATTATTCGACTTATTCTTCCAAACATGACATGCTGCAGTATATTACCAACATTTGCTCCTCACTCATTTCGACATGTGAGTTTTCACAGCAACATGTAGTAGTTCCAAAGTGGTCAAAAAGTTAGTTGAATTCCAGGTGCATTGGTCAAAAAACCATACAATCATTTAATGTGTCAAAGGAAACAGTCCTACTGTAACAATCCTGGCAGAATATATCACACCTGAAAAAACTGCAAAGAGTAGTCACTTACTATAGTTGTTAAACATCACTAAGTTCAGTCTCAACAGTTATTGAATCAGCTTTTTGTCCCAGTCTCAAACAAAACCTGTATGTCGTGAACGTAACACAGCAGGAGTTTAGGGTGGAGCTGTTATTTAGGAACCACTTGTATGCAAGGTTAAACCTTTGGTATTAGAAACACAAAACTGGACCCAAGAACAATAAAATGGAGTACAATGGACAGGTATAAGTTTAGAGAAAGTAAAAAAAAATAAAAAATGCCTTCAGCTTGTAATTTCTGCTTTCGCTGTTAAAAAGGTTAGGGGATACATAATGGTATAATGCCAATCTTATGGGAGTTATTGTCTGATGGTTGCTGTGTCATATAATAGCCTAGAAATATGAGTACATTTTACAACACCATGTGCACTCTATGCCACAAATTCTCAAATGATAGTGCCCTATATGCAAGGAGCAAATCTGAGTGGTTTCATGAACACCTGAGTGAAATCAAATACCTCCCATGGCCTCACCAATCACCAGATATAAACACATACCCCATGTTCAGAATTATTAGGTAAGTGTGCATTTTGCTTGTATCTTCTCTTCAGACCCATAGTTTCATTCCGGATTAGTCCCCAATTAAGAATGGACTGTTTAACAACAGAGCATGCTCTGTATGTGTTCTGAGTACTTTCTGTTTGCAGAGAAACAGGAAACTGTAGAGACTTTCCTGTGCAAAATTATTAAGCAAATTATTATTACTGTTAAAAAGGGCCAGAAAGGACCTTGTAGACAGCAGGAAAAAACAAAATAAGGAAATGCTAGTCAAAGGGGTGTAAACTGCTCAACTTACAAAATATGCAATTGAGTGTTTCGTGGCCAGCCGCCAAACAATGTGGAAGAAACATGTGGAGAGAATATGATACAAATTAGCTGCCAATGATTTGTGTCAAATTAAAGGGGAGACTTCTAGAAACTCTTTTGTGACATTGCTAAGGTTACATAGGCTGAAACACAACCTCAACTCAATAAGGCACTCAAGCTAAAACATCAAGAATGGGCACGGATGTGTCTCAAGGCTGTTTTTACAAAGGTTTTGTGGACAGATGAGATGAGAGTGACTCTTAGAGTAGATGGATGGGCCCATGGATGGACACCTTCTTCAAGCATCAACAAGGTGGTGGAGGAGTGATGATGTGGATTGTAGTTATTATGGATGAACATATTGGTTCTTTGTGACTTGCAGATGGTGTAAAAATTAACTACAAGCTCTACTGTCAATTTATAAAAGATACCTTCTTCAAACATCGGCACAAGAAGAAGTCAGCAACTTTCAAAAGGGTTATGATATGCATGAAGGGTAGTGTCCCTTCCTATGCATCAAGGTATCTCATACACTGGCTAAGAAAGACTTGGAAAATTATTCAGTTCCTGACCCCCTTCATTGCCTGACTTGACCTCTATTAAGCCTTATTAAAGTGTGAGATTTACCAAGGAGGGAAGCAGTACACTTGTCAGAGCAGCATCTGGGATGCAGTCCTAGCTGCCTCTGGTATATATAGGATTTGATCAAATCAAAGACATAACTGGTTCAATGGACAACAAGCTCATGTTGGTCATTGAGAAGAAAGGTCTATACAGGACAATAAATTTGGACTAATTGGGCCAATAGTTTGTTATTGCTGATATAGACTGAATAATCCATCCATCCATCCATCCATCATCTCCTGCTTAATCCGAGGTCGGGTCGCGGGGGCAGCAGTCTCAGCAGGGAAACCCAGACTTCCCTCTCCCCGGCCACTTCATCCAGCTCCTCTGCTCTTCTGCCCAACTTATTCTAAAACTTGTCTCCAGGCATAGTACTTGCCTTGTAATTCTCTGCAGAGTATAATGTTCTTCTTCGGGAGTAGTCCAATATCCCACTACACATTATATGACTGCATTCCCAGAAGGATTAAAGCAGACATTATAAAAGTATTTTGAAATTGACAATTAGCTGGAGGATTGTGCTTGTGATAAATTTAAAATTTGTACTGTTTTGAATTTAAATTTATGACCTGGGAAAGGATATTGAAATACTATGTTTACACAAGACATCTTTTTTCACAAGAAACTATGAATTTTTGAGCAGATGTTTTATGCAGTAATTAATAATATCATACTTTTACACACAGTGGATTTTATTGCAAGAACAAAAATTGGTTTTATTGAATGTGGCCCAGCTGTGTAAAGCACAGATTAACTGATTGGTTATTTATATCCTTGAATTATTATCAGGGGTATTCAATTAAAATTCAAAGAGGTCCAGTTAAAGAAAATCTCCTCAAGTAAAGGTACATCTTAACAGTTTCAACAAATTTAATTATATACATAAACATCTTAACACACCTAAACAATTGAGCAGCTTTAATATCTCCTTTCCACTTTCTTTCCCTCTTATATCAGACTCCTGCAATGTCCGTTGAGTAGAAAGCTGCCTTACAACTGTATGCGAAGTCTAATGTGGTCAAACGTACTGGGCTATTTTCCTCAGACCTGGGAACGCTGTGTCTCCAAGACCATTTGGAACCAGTGGCAGGGTCAGTTTTTCTAAAATACTCATTCAGGGCCACATCTGCTTGGAGATCGACCAGTGGCATCTGGAGAGGCCCAGCATTTGCGCACTTGCAGTGCTGTGAACCCTCCGACATCTGAGATGTGCAATGGGTTCTGAATGAACAAGATGAGCTGCTATCCAAGGCTGAAGCTGTCAAATCTTTGGCTGAAGTTTACAAGCAGCTTGTCAACAAAGACAACAAAAGAAGATGCATCTCTCTCACCAAGAACCTGTTCTTACACTGTTGGGAAGTGTGCACAGTCTCCCTGCCGGTCTTCCTGAATACCTCAAGTTTCCCCTGGAAGGAAGGGACAGCTGTTATTAGGTGACACACTGAATCGTCCTTGCATTGTAACTTGCAATCATCTTCATTCAACTGTGAAGTGATATCTACCAAAAAAAACCACAATATCCATCATCTTCATCTCTTCTAAATAGAGAAATGGTGTTGCCTTCTGGCTCTTCAGCTGTGCCAAGAGTGCTGTGATTTCCCTTTGGAGGGACCAACACCCTACATTGGATGAGACGTCTTACATTATTGTGTACAAGAAGGTCATCAGAATTTGCGTCAATTTCTCTGAGGAATTCCCTGATGCTGATGGGAAGAGGATGCCCTGAGAAAGTTCATCATTCTCATGATTGTGTTCATCACCTCAGCTTACTTGTCTGACAGGGTGGAGCACAGAACCATTTGATGAATTATGCAAGATTAATATTTCAGTTTTCTTTGTAGCTGTTGATGCTGACGTAGGTATTTGCTTGATTTTTTTCTATTTCCTTCAAGTAAGGTTTCAGCTACTGCATGCAGACAATCCTTGACAGCCCTTCCATCGGTGAATGGTTTCTTATATTGACCCAAGATCCAATCAACTCTAGGGGAACATTTGTTAGCACATTGCTGGGCATTAAATGAATGTGTTAATATTCCAGTGGATTGATCATATTGGGTTCTTAGTTAATTTATTTTCTGTGCTCACAGTTTGGTCTTGAGTGGGCATGTTTGCTCAGTAGATTTGTGCTCTGTCTCATAGTGGTGCTCCACATTGCTGCTTTTAATAATCACGGTGGTCTCAGAACACATGAGACATGCAGGCTAAAAACTATAATTAAATTAAACAGGGCTGTTTGTTGCTACAGACCATACTCATTAGTAGAGAACTTAAGGTTTTGTGCATTATAATTATGTTTTTCATTTTTAATCTTACATATTTATTTTTACAATGTGAGAAGAAGTGTCTCAGGTTCTTTTTATTCGTATACTTTGACAGACACATTCGGCACTTTCACACCTCTGGATTTTTTTCTGGACTCAGATCCTTTTTTCTGGAACCAGGGACTTTTGTCATGTTCACACCGCAGTTCCAGAACTCTTTTTTAGTACCTACTCCAGACTAGGTACTTTTCTTTCAAACATGAACTGCTAGGGAATTAACTTGGAGGTTACGCAGAAGTGCAGAAAAAGAGATGTAGTGGAGAAAAAATTGAGCAGATAGAATTATTTTTGTATCACAATGCATCAATGTATATATTGTATATGTATAAAAAATATATATTTTTTGCTTGCATCTTCAGATTTCTGCATCAGAAAATTCAATCGCTAACCAATATACTTTTGTGTGACATTGACAGTGCTGGCAGTGAAACTTGCCAGTGTTTATTAGTGGGATAACGTTAAATCGTTTTTTATTCTATGGAAAATGAAAAATCGATCTGCTGGCTAGATTTAATAAGAATCATGAACGTGTCACAGGTCATATAAGTAAAATATAAATAAAAGGCTGTGGCCCATTTTGATCACGGTTGAACCCAAAAACATGCTGAGGTTAACTGGAGTTACCAAATAGCCCATACTGTATGTGTGCATGTGTGAGTGAATAGTGTTAATGTGCCCTGCGATGGGTTGGCACCCCATCCTGGGTTGTTCCATGCCTTGCATCCATAGCCTCCGGGATAGGCTCCAAACCCCCCCATGACCCTGAATAGGACAGCGGTTACAGAAAATGGATGGATGGATGGATGTATCTGGCCAGCAGATCGACTTTTCATTTTCCACAGAATAAAAAAATGATATCACATTATTCCACTGATAAGTGCTGTTAAGTCAAGCTTAAAGCGTCATGGCAGAGTGGTACAATTGACTGGAGGTCAACTAGTCTGTGCAACCGCTAGTGGGCAAATACAGACGCTCCTCTACTTACGAATGAGTTACGTTCCGAACGGCCGTTCGTAACTTGAAATGTTCATACTGTAAGTCGTTATTCAACATCATTTTAAGGGTATACGCAAGTAAAAAGAACTAGGATGCTGGGAGTACGCACACTACGCTGCTGTGCGGCGGGAGTAGCGGCCAGAAGTCATACTACCTGGAATTAGCGCGCAGAAAAAAAAATGTTTGCGGAAGGGAAACGGGAGCCCAATGAACAAAATTTGTACAATTCCTCGCTTAGCATTCACCTTAAAATTAGCATTGCAAAGTCTGGCAAAAACTGAAAACACACAAAAGTCATTGTTTTCTTTTTTGGTTGTAGGGGTGGCAATCCCAAGTCTCCTTTAAAAAAAAAGTTTTCAAGAAAAAATATTGGCAAGCGATATTATTGTTGTATTTCAGACTTACTTAGAGTTCTTACTTAGACCTTAGAGTTCTGGGACATTCTTTCTGCAGGATATTTCTGAAAAAGAGGATTTGAACTTCGTAGTGGAAAACTGTAATTTATGTGTGTCACACAGCAATGCTAGGGAGCGTGTGGGCTGCACTACTAGAAGGAATTTGTTGAGCTGGCAAGAATGCAAAGTATTCAGTGCTGAAGAAATTAGAAATGGATGTCTTACATTTCATAGAAAAGTGACATTGAAAAAAATAACTGCAAAAGTTTACTGATTTATGAAGTGCAGGACATATTGTCACATGTGAAGAAGAGAAATTTCTCCAGAAGTAAAACATAAAGAGGATGATCTGTATTTCTTAACTATCTCGCATTAACTTCTATCCAGTTATCTAGTACAAGGGATCCTAGAGTCTATTACATCACAGGAGTCACATACAGCTCTGGAAAAAATTAAGAGACCACTCTGTATTATATCTTTAAAAAAATCTGAATTTTTAAATCCTGGTTTAATCTTGGTTATGCTGGCACAAAATTTCTAAGACAGCAGTACACAAGAATAATGTGAAGCAGGAGACACTGGGAATGACCAGAAACCAGCCAGGTGGAGGGCAGAAGTGACTTTCTAATGTCAGAGGTGAACGTTAACTTATCTGGCGGTTTCTCATGAATCAGGATAACATCAAGCGACTTTCAAAAGGAATGGGAAACATTAAGTGCAGGTGTGAAGTGCACTGCTAGGACCGTGTGTATCAGGCTCCTAGAAGCTGAACTGAAGTCCCATAAAGCAAGGAAGAAGCCCTTCATTAATGAGAAACAGGGAAGAACCAGACTGCAGTTCGCAAGAAAAAATATATATTTTTCACAGACACACACCCATAAATTGAGAAATGAGTGAAACAAGAAAATGTGCTGTGGTCTCTTAATTTAAAAAATTTTTAATGTTACATATTTATTTTTACAATGTGAGAAGAAGCATCTCAGGTTTTTTTATTTGTATACTTTGACAGTAAGCAGGAACAAAAACTAAACTATAACTAACCACAAGGTAAACTAACACTAAAATTACAACGAAGAAGACCCAGACAGTAAGAAATGTGGGTACTGAACGATGAGCAGAACACTAAGGATAGAGGAACTAAACACACAGCAACAACCACAATGAACCACTGAGGAACAGAACAACAGGCACCTAAATACATTACTAACATGACAAGAAAAAGGGCAAGTGAGAACCATAACTAATCAACCAATCACGAAGGACTTGGGCAACAAGGAACAGGTGGGGTATATTACAATTAACAGGCACTGCAGCAGGGGTGGCCAATCTTATCCGCAAAGGGCTGGTATGTATGCAAGTTTTCGCTGCAACTCCCTAAGTAGGTCACTAATTAGAGGACTGATTGGCTGAAGAGTCCTCACACCTGGGTTTGAACAGCTGACCTAAAGGTTATCCCAAAAACCTGCATACACACCGGCCCTTTGCGGATAAGATTGACCACCCCTGCACTAGTGACTAAGAAACATTAACAAACACTGAGGTAGAGTTGGATGTCTCAAGACCAATTTTACGCTGTCTTGGTCTTGTCACAGTCTTGACGGACTATAGTCTTGGTCTTGTCTTGGTCTCAGATCCCTCGGTCTTGTCTTGGTCTCGCTGTCTTGGTCTTGCTGTCTCAGATCAACATAGTGGTCAGGAGATTTGGAGCGAAATGTATCCATGACACACAACGTAATGTTTGATAATGCAACATTATTATTATTTCACCTTTCTCGCCCTTCAAATGCAACCAATCAATGACATACATGCATTTTGTTGTGATTCAGATATTGGCGCTCATCCAATCAAAATACGTGTTATACGCGCAAAATAAGTGTAGCTCTAGTTAAATGTTAGTTAAATGTGTAATCACATGCCACTGCAGACATCAAGATGTCAGAATCTTTTAAGCACTTGTCCTTATTCTTATTAATGCACAATTTGATGTGCAGTTTGTATTGGTATATAGTATTAGTAGTTTGCATTTGATTCATGTGACGTGTGTGTCTTTATATTGTTTGATTACAGTATTTTAATTAAAATGGTGGTGTTTGACTAAATAAATGTGACCATTGACTTTTAAATAACATCTGCATATCATGTTGTGTTGACTTAACAGGCCTAATCCATTTCAAGGAAGTTGATATCATACAGTGTCATTTGGCTAGTACTACTACAATGGGACATGATGCAATTTCAAGTTTATAATTGTGTGTCTTCAATTTGATGTTACAATTTCATCTGCAAATTAAGTATAATTGAAATCAGTTACATATTTCCCATCCTTTAGACAGTTGTTGGAGGTGTTAGCTCTTTTGTCAGATGACTTTGGAACCAGTCAGTACCCATCATGTCAGTCCTCAACAGCACACAAAAGTTAAGGGAGTCTTTTTTTTCAGTCTCAGTCTTGGTCTCGTCTTTGTCTTGGTCTTAGTCTTGGTCTCGATACCCTCTGGTCTTGGTAGTGTCTTGGTCTTGGTTTAGGCGGTCTTGACTACAAGTCTACACTGAGGGCTATCTACACAATGAGAGACTACAGGAACACAGGTAAAACAGAGCATAACTAAACAAGGCAGGGGTACAGTAACCATTAACAGGGCCACAATGCAAAGACATAAATCAACAATACCAAACAATAGGGGATAAAATAAAACCAAAATATTAAACAGAGATGTGGCCAGGCTGAAACTCATGATGGAGGGATGTCTCTAAGCCATTGAGCCATGCGGTAGCCTGAGGGGCAAGGGAATACACTATGGTAACACCAAACAGGATGGCCAGCAGGAACTACTGTACTGGCCAAACAGGGAAAAGACACATGGGACAGGGCCAGAGGGGCACTGATCCTGACAGTAATGACATCACACTAATCTGCACTGGCAAGTTTCCCTATATTTTGCCTGGTGTCCTTCTTTGAGCACTAGCAGAAGAAGAGAGCCCAAAAATAAATTAAAAATTAAAAACTTTTTTTGGAAACTTAATTTATCATTTCATATAATTATAAGCAGAAAGACAGATATGAGTGCTGCCTGACGTTAGTATAATTGCCCAAAAGTGTCACTTTTGATATGTGTCAATGTTGGTAAAATTGGTATCCAGAATAGTAGTAATATTGGTCAGTAATAGTTACAGAGTTTATTAACCTTGTCTACTTCCCATCAGACTCGGTGGACACCCCAGGAACACTTAACAACATTGTCCAGTATGTAAACAAGACTCGCAGGAAACGCAGGCATGCAGGAGACAACGATTACAACATTGAGGTGCTGCTGGCAGTGGATGATTCTGTTGTGCGATTTCATGGAAAGGAACATGTCCAGAACTACCTGCTGACCCTCATGAACATTGTAAGTACAGCAGTCTACTAACCAAATAACAGGAAAAGTGAGGAAATAGTCATTATCCAAATTTTAAATGTGTTCGCATGGTAGAATTTAAAAATAAAAATCTTTGTTATAATTCCAGATTTGCACAAATCGATTCTCTGGTTATGAAAGTTATGAAAACATAAATGTATAATGTTTATAGTTAAGACATTTTGAAATGGGCAAAGTACATAATCCAAGTCTAAGATGCTTCAGTTAAGAACATTTTTGCTGATGTTTGCAAATGAGTATTAAATGGCTCAATCAAGGGTTTCCTGCATACAAATTCAGCTAAATATAGTCCTCTGCACTTTGTTTCTAACTTATGCTTAATAGCTTTAATGTTCAGTGATCACAATAATCAGTTATCAATATTGTACACAAGCACTTGTAAACAAGTAAAAAATATCCCCTGATTGGTAATATACTGCTTTTATCTAACTCTTTAAGTGTACAGACAAGTTATAAAATACAGTGGTACCTCATAACTCGAACTTAATCTGTTCAGAACTCCGGGTCGAATCCTAAAAAGTTCGGGTTCTGTTCGAATTTTCCCCATAAGAAATAATGGAAAATCAATTAATTGGTTCCCGGCCCCAAAAAATTACACCTAAATATGTTTTTTTTTTTTAGCATTTAAACACAAAATGAACTGGATAAAACAAGAAGAGCATATACTGTACTAAACACATCTAAGCACATTTATCAAAACAGTAACTTGTAAAGTAAAAAAATAAATATATCCAAACAATGTGTAAAGTTAAAAAAAACAATGTGTCCTGCCTCCATCGTCCGCTCCTTCCATGTGCCACGCCCCCTCGTTAACCCCGTGTGGAATCCCTGTGTGATCAGCTGTTTCAGCTTGTTGTCATTAGTCCTCTGTACAGTATTTCATCCGCGTTTGTTTGTTTCCCCAGTCCGGTCATTGCATTGTCCGTCTGCGTTTTGCCTGCCTTTCCTGTAATTAAACCCCGTATTCTCCAATACCCTGACGTCTGCGCCTTTGTCTCTGTTCCGTCCCTGTTGGGCATGACAATATTATTATTATAATTAAATGTATTAATGGTTTATTATTAATATTAAAACAATTAATAAGAAATCTTTATTTTAAAATGTATTTTATTATATAATAATTACTGTTACTGTCTATCATTGTCTAAATGTATTTTTACTGTCTAAATATATGTATTCAGCTAGTGTAAACATGCACGGTGCTATCACAGCGAATGAGAGACTGAGACTGAAGCGTTACCCTTTGTTTCCGTTGAGAGACATGCCGTGTGACTCATTTCCCCGTGCATACAAGTTATCTTAGGTCGGCATTCACGGTTTGACTTCTGAGATTCAGATCGAGTACTAGGTAATTTTTTTCCGAACTGGTTGGTTCGACTTTTAAGAAATTCAAGTTCTAATGAGTTTGAGAACTGAGGTACCACTGTAATTAAAAGTAGCAATAATTATCTATATGATGCACCTACCTGCTTGCTTCTCTACCCGTTCAGATTTAGAGATGCCATATAATATCATGAGTTTCATGTTCAGTTTTATTGTATTTATACATTCGCAATATTTGATTGTTAATTAAAAAGAAATAAAGTATTTTTTACTGTCACATTTCTGTTTAAAAGAAATATCTGCATTCTGATATACACCAATCAGCCATAACATTAAAATCACTGACAGGTGAAGTGAATAAAATTGATTATTTCATTACAATGGCATCTGCCAAGAGTGCTATTACAGAATACATTAGGCAAGTTGTTGTGTTGGAATCAGGAAACATAGGCAAGCGTAGGGATCTTAGTAATTTTGAAATGGGCCAAATTGTGAACGGCAAGTCTTATGGGGTTATTCAGCGTCAGTATCTACTAAAAGTAGTCCAAGGAAGGCCTACCAGTGACCCAGTAATGGAGTCATGGGAGTCCAAGGCTCATTGATATGCATGGGAAGCAAAGGCTGGCCTCTCTGGTCCGATCCCACTGGAGAGGTACTACCATACAAATTAATGAAAACTTTAATGCTGGCTGTGATGGAAAGGTATCAAAACACAGTGCATCGCTGCTTGCTGCATATAGGGCTGCGTAGCCACTGACCATGCAGGGGGCCCCATGACGACTCCTGTCCACCACTGAAATCACCTATGATGGGCATGTGAGTGCCAGAACTGGACCATGGAGTAACAGAAGAAGGTGGTCTGGTCTGATGAGTCAGATGATGTAGACAGCTTGGTGCATGTGCATCATTTACCTGGGGAAGGCACCAGGATATACTATGGGGAGAAGGCAAGTTAGTGGACGTAGTATGATGCTCTGAGCAATGTTCTGCTGGGAAACCTTGGGTCCCAGCATTCATGTAGATGTTACCTTAACACATAGCATCTACCTAAACGTTCGTATGAACCAAGTATACCACTTCATGGCAGTGGCGACTGCTCTAAGACTACAGGGGAAGCTCTGCTTCCTGTAATATGTCAGAAAATAAATGCTCATATATGCATGTCATATTTATATTAGTTTTAATAAAAATGTGCTAGAACCCATTCAACTTCATGAGGAGCTCATTCAGAATCGGCTATTTATTGTAGATTGTTTGACGCGATTTTCGTCTCATACATTTCCGTGCAGCACAGCGCATTAAAACCTCCTGAAGCGCAGCTTCACTGGACCTCTATGGCCCGACACAGAAGAGCTTTTTTCACTGCAGAAAAGCTGGACGGTTATGCGCAAAAATCGTCACTTCCAGGGAAGCTCAACATCTCTGGGAGTGAATGGAGCAGTGGGCGGGCCAGGACGCTGGGCTGCTGCATGATGATTGGGGGACCTGTCTAAAGGGCGGAACCCGTTTTTGATTGACAGCATGTTTTAAGTATACACCGGTGCTACAGAGATTCGAGTTCAGTCCCTTGCGGATTTGCAGGTGAAGGGAAACTAGCTAGCTAGCAAGCTGTGCATAATGGCAGACGGTGCTAATATTGTTGACCTGCTTTTGGCAAAGCTATTTAATAGTTTTTTTTGCTTAGAAAGACTCAGAATTAAACAGCAGGGCAGACCAATGCCCAAGATTGATTTGGTGCAAAAATTAGGGAAAGATAACAGGTCTTTTCTGCTCTCCTGGTATGACAAGGTGAACTGGCTGACTGGCAGTCCTGTACCAAAGAAAATGTACTGTTGGCCGTTCCTCTTGATGAAACCTCAGGGAATGGGATGTGTTGTTTGGTCAATCGTGGGTTTTGGGGATCTGGATAACTGTTCTCCTGTTTAAAACGGGTCAAGTCACACACCCGCAGCACGATGGGCCAAGATCGTTTGAGCAACCTTGCTCTCCTGGCCATTGAGAGGAAACTGGTTAAGTCCCTGGAAAGGATGGCCGATTGGTAGGACAGGGTCACAGACCATTTTCTGCAAAAGGAACAGAGGGCAGAATTCATGTGCAAATAACATAATGAATTTTATGATGTAGGCCTAATATGAGCTTCCCCTGTTTGAAAGACTAGCAGCCGCCACTGCTTCATGGCCACTGTATTCCCCGATGGCAGTGGCCTCTTTCAGCAGGATAATGTGACCACACTGCAAAACTTCAGGATTGGTTTGAGGAACATGAAAAAGAGTTCAAGATGTTGACTTGGCCTCGTAAATTCAATCCGATGGAGCAGTTGTGGGATGTGCTGGACACACAAGTCTGAGCTTTGAAGCCATAAATACTTAAAGGATCTACTTCTAACATCTTGGTGCCAGATATTTCAGGACACCTTCAGAGGTCTTGTGGAATCCGTGCCTTGATGGGTCAGAGCTGTTTTGGCTGCACATGCGGGACCTACACAATATTAGGCAGGTAATTTTAATGTTATGGCTCACCAGTGTCTATCATTTTATGGGGCTAATTGTACATACATAATTTTTTCTGACAAGTGATTCATCCACTTATCGGAAAATTTTGTCTCCATGCCTGTTGTTTTAGGAATAGTTTAGAATCGGGTATTATTTCAAGCAAAACCCATTTATTTTTTAACACAGTGACAGTAGCTCAGTAAGTAGCATGCAAGTAAAAAAAGTTTATCAGCGTGGAATTTGTATTAAATTCATTTTTATATAGCATCGTTTACATTACAGTTGCTTCCAGGCACTTAACAAAAGCATTATATTATTAATTTATGGATACAAAATAAATCTTAGCCTGCACCCGCTATTTGAAAAACACCACAAAAATAGGACCTTCTTGAAATAAAATGCCTAAAACATTCAAACAACTTGCACAACATGCAGGCTGGTCTGGTTTACATCCTGACAGTCACAAGATGCTAATCAAAAATAAAACGATTTCTAGAAGTTTTACACATAGATAAACAAACTCGAATTATAAACAAACTCATGCTCGCAGAAATGCTAATGTGGTTTCTCTTGACACTATACACATTTTGGAGTTCTCTGTGACCGGTCAAAACTATTATTTTGAAAGTTCTGATCCTTGGGAACAATTGATTTAAACCGTGTTTCGATTAGGTCAGCGGCTGCAGTGTTTGGTCAGCTTTCCCCATGGCATGTCCAGTTTACCCAGTCTTGAAAACTGCAGATAAAAGTGTAAAAAAGTGCATTTTCTGTGTTCAATTTGAGTTTTTTCTGTTTAATTAAATTATTTTAAGTTTTAAAAGTGACTGCAGTGACAGTGACCAGCGCAACAAAGCTGTTGTGCAGGACAGCTTTAAAATAAGGTGGGGCTTTGATATGTCATTGAACTCATCTTTTTCACTGGCTACTCATTTTCTCCCATTTTGAGGAGCTACAGGTTATTGGGTGGCCGAGAGGTCCGTCAGAAGGGAGGGTCAGTAGTCCCCATTTTACATGGTGGTCAGGTGAAGACCCCAGTCATTCCGTGAAATCTGAACAGATTGGCCTGTATCAGGCCTCATTTTCTTCAGTGGGCCATGAGCTATGTATTGAATCCTGAGAACCATGTGTATACGCAGTGTATTTGTTGAAATCCATGGGTAAATTCAGATGAAGTCATAGATGCCATGTAAACTGTGGTAGTTTTTGCTGTGTTTGGGCATTTTAGCTTGTCTTTAGACCAAAGCACTATAACAGATAGCGATCATTGGACCCTTATACCAAGATCAGCATGCTTTGTGCAGGACTGTTTTGTTATTCATGTAAACAAACTGGAAGTGCACAGTTCAACTAGTGGCCATATTGAAATGTTACTAAATTTAATTTATATTTTTATTTAAGTGGCTTTATGATGTTTTTTGATGGTTAGAAACATTTGTATTACTATAAATAAGTCATATTTGCCTGGATTTTTCTTCTACATTATGACTTTTTTAATTGAAGTGAAGTTTGCAAGGAGACTATCATGTTAACCCTCTGGGGGTTCAAACAGGATATAAAAATAAAGGTAAATATATTAATATATTAATGTAAGGAGTATAGAGAATAAAGACTGAATATCACGCTGAACAGCACCCTGCCTTACACTCTGGGGCTACTGCATTAGTCACAAACCAGGCATCAACAATCGCACCACATTTAAAAACACTTTTATCAGGTATCTTAGCTGTTCTAATGCTTAGTCGAGCAATATGTGAACATCTTGACCCTGTCTGACTGCTTTGTGCACTCAATTGTAGTGCTGCTTGGATGACCAGGGTTTTTGCATTAGCGAGCAGCCACTGAATGTACCTTTTTTCTTGAGAATATCACTTTTCTTCTATATTCATAAATTTCTCTCCTTTAATAGGAAAAACTCAGTTGTTTTTAAAGCTGAGTGTTTTCTATGCTATAGTTGACCAATATCAATTGTCTGGCATCCAATTCAGGGTCACAATGGGTTAGGATGGGATGGAAGACCTTCAGAGGTCGTATGTATCAGTGGCAATTTAAAAACACCAATTTACAGTATCTAAACCATACACACACCTGTGAGACGAAAACACACATGGGAAATGTTCCAACTTTATGCATGTACATGTACAGATACATGGCTGTGTGTGGTGTCAAGCCTATGATTGGAAGGCTGTATAAAAAAGTGTCTTTAACGTTGTGTTGGTGAGTGCTTTGTTTTTTATTCTGGAAGGTGATTGGCCCATCACATCTAATTAATTCTCTTAAGTGATCCTTGCAGTGATCACAACCCAGTCCTCAGAGTCAATGTTTTTGCCCCCTCCCAGTTTGCTGCCAGACAGTCCACATTTAGCCAAAACATGGACTGTCTTGAGGTCCCTGAGGACTGGTTTGTGAAACACTGTTCTATAGGATTCTGTCCAGGTTTGAATCCTAGAACCAAGTGGGTATCAGTACCTTCTTGGTTCAGTTTGGTATTTCAGTGGTTCACTCAGTTTTGGGTGTCCCCCTCTGCAGACCTGTCGGGTTCAATTTGGCACCCAGTCCCAGAACAGATGGTGTTAGGGAATATATAATAAGAACAACAAGCTTTGCTTAATTTGTTTCCTGGAGTTCGTTATCTTAGGATACTCATGGAAACCTACGTAAAGTTTATCAGTATTATTATAGTGATACCGTTTTCTGCTCTTAATCTTGCGGAGTTTCCTAGTCTCCAGTTTGCAGGTTTCTGTTTAGATTTCTGGTTCCAATCTTGCCTGCTTTTTGTCCCATGTTTAAGAATATCATGCCATATCTCATCTCAAACTTTCTAGCAGACCCAGATCCCATTAGTTGCCTGTTTCTTGCATTTTTTTCATGCACTAAGGGACTGTCAGGCAAGAACCTGACAATGTGGACAGGGTACCTCAGTTTGTTTTGTCTGTGTTCTATGTCAGGGATGGTTCAGTTCATTTTGTCTGTGTTCTTTGTCAGATATGAGAATAAATAAAATGAATTGCACAAAGCATCTGGAGTGCAACATAGCATATCAAAACTATGAGAGAATATGAAAATTCTGTTATTTTGTAACTAACAAAATAAAATGAACATGGCAAACAAAAAAGACAGCAACACAATCTGTTAAATTGTTACTGAACTGTGCCTCATCTTTTTCAGGTCAATGAAATATATCATGATGTCTCTTTAGGTTGTCATATAAATGTAGTCCTCGTGAGAATGATCATGCTTGGATATCCAAAGGTAAAAGCTCCACACAAACATGCATCTCTAAACTATATAATATACTTAATTCTTATCATATAGTATCATTTTACTAAATTGATAACATGGTAACTAATCTGGGCTGATTTTTTTCCATTTACTCTCAAATAACATATTTCTGCAGTCCAGTTATTTCAGAGCAGAGAATAGCAAGCTTGATTATAAACAACTAGAACAATAAGTATAACAATAACCTTACTATTGATGATGATTTTTTTTTTCTAGTCCGTCAGTCTTATAGAAAGGGAGAACCCTTCTCGCAGCCTGGAGAATGTCTGTCGCTGGGCTTTTATCCAGCAGAAAGCTGACCCCGAGCACTGTGAGCACCATGACCATGCTATCTTTTTGACCCGACAAAGCTTTGGCCCCACTGGTATGCAAGGTACAGTATAGTGTAACACTAAAAAAAACTGCTATCATGGATCATGTATGGTAATGCTGTCTGTTGTAGTTGCTGTGACATCATGATTCCTGGTCTTAGAGGAATGTCATACGAGGAAAGGTTATTTGAGCTAAATCTGTTCAGCCTGAAGCAAAGGAGACTGAGGGTGGACATGATCCAGGTCTATAAGATTCTAACGGGTTTGGATGCTGTTCAACCGAATAGTTACTTCAGCATTAGTTCAAATACAAGAACTCGTGGCCATACAGTAGGTGGAAATTAGCGGGAGAACATTTCAAACTGGATTTAAGGAAGCACTTCTTTACACAGCGTGTAGTCAGAGTATGGAATAGTCTTCCTGATAACATAGTGCAAGCTGAATCCTTGGGTTCCTTTAAATCAGAGCTAGATAAGATTTTAACAACTCTGAGCTATTAGTGAAGTTCTCCCCAAGCGAGCTCGATGGGCCGAATGGCCTCCTCTCATTTGTATAGTTCTTATGTTCTTATGTTCTTATTTCAAAAGCCATTCCTTTGATGCATGAATCTGAAATAAAGAGAAATACAGTGTGCACTGTGCACATTATAACACAAACATATTCACTTCCCATAGTTTCACTGAGCTGTACACATAATTGCTAAAATCTAGAAAGATACAAAGTATATGTGACACTTTGATACCCTTTCATGAACGGCACATATTTGTGAGATACATGTTTTTTTGGGGGGGGGGAAAGTTACTGGAAATAAATATTCATAATGTGTATGGGTGCGGGGGTGGGGTGGTTATTTGCTCTGTGAAAGGCCTGTTGCCAATTTTTGAATGTACAGCGATGATAACCCAGATGTAAACTTGGTCAAAATAGCCCATGTTTGCATGTTAAAAAATGTGAAACCAACTTTCTTGAGCTGGTTTTGTGGTGTGCAGTCTTTCAAATTTCAAAAAAAAATCTAAGATCAGCAGTGGAAATAATTTCATAAGTTCCAAGAATTACAAAAAAATCTGCCACCACACATTAACGGTGAGGCTGCATCCTAAATGTGGAATTGATGTATTACAGAAAAAATGTTACACATATGCATGGGAAATTAACAGTACATGGAGTAAATTCGTTTTTCTATTTCACATTTTCCCAGTTTTCCTCCTCCTGAGTAATGCAGTCATAATATTTTAATATCAGGTGTTTCTTCAAAAATCCAAATAAACCATATCTCTAGTGGTTCATGTTACGAGCAGCAGTATGGCACGACAAATTTAGGCTAGGTCCTCAACCCTGTTTTTTTTCTTTCCAAAATATTGAAAAAATGTTATACCTAGCTCTGCTGTCAAGGGCACAGAAGTGGTCATATTTGATTAATGAATGTTTTCAGCCACTAAAATAATATGCAAATATATTCAATGCCACAGAGACTGATTTGCTTAGCAGCAATTCAGCTCATTTAAGAATGTCCGTGAAACATGTTTTCTGTCATAAAGTTTGGTGATTATTGGTTTTATAGTTTTTTAAATAATACATTATTGATAATGCAGTAAATATTTGGTCATAAAAATTCATTTTTGTTGTCACTTAGGCTCAAAAACTGGATTTAAGTCACAGTATTTGTATAAAATAAGCAGTTGTCCCCGACCCTCTTTTTCTGTCACCGTTGCAGGATATGCCCCAGTTACGGGAATGTGCCATCCAGTCCGGAGCTGCACCCTGAACCACGAAGACGGCTTCTCCTCTGCTTTTGTGGTGGCCCATGAAACGGGCCATGTGTAGGTTTCTTTGGCAGATGCGTGTATGGAATATTACATAACTCCCTCCAGATGGAGAGGGGCAGGCTGAACACAGCACTGAAGGTCAACACTTGGAATGCAAGCAACATAGCAGATAAATATTTTCATTCCCCTGATTATATTTGTTGCTGTTTCAGGGGACAAATGTGCTTCAGTTTTTAAATGGCATAGTAATCTGCTGAAATCAAAGGCTTGTGAAATGTGTAGAGTGATTATGAAGTAAGCACAAAAAAATACTTTTATGTCAACATATGGCTCTATTATCATTCCTGTAAATGAAAGATACTTGAATTGTTAGAGGTTTTCAAAACAGTCATCGTTTTCTTACGTCAAAAGTCCTTACATAAATCTGAAAATGATACTCGAAATTTCAACTGTCTGTTTTGCTAAATTTGCTAAGAAAGAAATGCTGCAGATTATTTTATGTTGAAAGGAAATTATTTTTCCAGTGCAACAGCCAATAAACGAAAAACGATTAAAATACTTATTGGAAAAAGTATGTAATACCAGAAAGCATGTATTTTTCTTCACCAGATCTTCTGAAATCATTTTTTTTTACTTATAATTTAATAATCACTTATACAGATATGCTTTTTACATAGCAGACACCTATTAAAACCCATCATCATGTTTTCTAGAAACAAGATATGTCCATGATAAATGTGTGTTCTTTCTGTTAGGCTGGGAATGGAGCATGACGGGCAGGGAAATCGATGTGGGGATGAGACTGCGATGGGCAGCGTCATGGCACCTCTTGTGCAAGCTGCTTTCCATCGGTACCACTGGTCAATATGTAGCGGGCAAGAGCTCAAGAAATACATACAGTGAGTTCTCATCTGAAAGTAGGATTAAATTTACTTTAATGGAACATATCATAAGGAGTGACATCACACCTCCACGATTGGGATTTGCTTTGTACTGACTATTCTGCAGCATGTTGCATATTATAAATTGTTGAACTAACTGTGGATTAAAACTGAAAAAATTAACAATCCTTATAAAATTTTTCTGGTTTGATTATTGTTAACACATATTTGTATATGTGCTATATGTTTTATAGCTCATATGATTGCCTGTTGGATGACCCTTTCATGCATGACTGGCCCCAAATTCCTGAACTTCCTGGAATGAATTATTCTATGGATGACCAATGCCGATTTGACTTTGGAGTTGGATACAAGATCTGCACATCCGTAAGTAGATTCAGAAATGTGTGTAAAATAGTGTTAGTTACTGTAATGCTTACAGTATGTGTTCACTAACCAGTCAAGAATATAAATTGTGAATCTGTCACCACAGTTATCTTTTTTTAATTGGTTAAAACATCATTTGTCAAAGAATGAGGACAAGCACTGCAGGACACCTTTTCTTTTTTGTTATATGCATTGAAGGACCATGCAGTGAAACTGCTGGAAATAGTGTTCATCTTTATTTTCTTGTTAGGAATGTCTGTATTTAAATGCTACTTTTAACTTCTTCAGTTTCGTACCTTTGATCCTTGCAAGCAACTGTGGTGCAGTCACTCTGATAATCCCTATTTCTGCAAGACTAAAAAAGGGCCACCATTGGATGGGACAGAATGTGCCCCTGGAAAGGTAGTTTCAGTATGCTGTTCATATTGCCATATTACATTTAGCTATTTTGTGGCACCTTTATTAAAAACAGCATAACGTATAACTCTAACAGATTGTTTACCAAAGATCTGCATTTTTCCAGTGGTGCTACAAAGGTCACTGCATGTGGAGGACCTCCAACCATGCAAAGCAAGATGGCGCCTGGAGCTCCTGGACCAAGTTTGGCTCTTGTACTCGAAGCTGTGGGACTGGGGTTCGGTTCAGAACCCGGCAATGCAACAACCCTGTGTAAGACTGGTTTAAATAAAACTTGTGAATTGCAACATACTGTAAAAATGTGGATGACTTTAAGGTTGGTTCAAGAGGGATATACAGTATAATCTGCAAAATAACCTACCCATTATTTCAGCAGTGATATTTATTCTTCTATAAATTTGTTTTACTTGCAAAGTTAGCACTCATTTTTATAATCTCTGTATCTGGTGCACATATGTCAAGTGTGGAACTAACTTGATATTCTTCTTTAAATTCCTGTGAGCAGTTCCTATGGGAAATTCTCTGCCTCTTTCAGATTTCTAAAATCTATTTGTTTATTTATTTTATTTTTTTTACATTTTCGGCTAATTCTGTGTTGTGAAAAAGGCTGCTATGAAAGGGACCTTGGGTGGATACCATATGAAAGTTGAAAATTCTTTCAAAAACTTGTGAAAATGTACTCTCTTTCCTTGAAAATTTGTAAGTTGGTAAACCTATCCCGTACTGGATAAGCAGTTGGAAGATGAATGTACGGATAAAATATATCAATTTAAAATTTTGTATGTATCCGACAGCCCCTCTAATGGAGGTCAGGATTGTCCAGGTGTAAACTTTGAGTATCAGCTTTGCAACATGGATGACTGCCCCAAGAAATCTGAAGACTTTCGGGCACAGCAGTGCCAGAAACGTAACTTGTACTTCAAGTTTCAAAACAGCAAGCACCACTGGCTACCTTATGAGCATCCAGACAGTGAGTTTGTGCAATGTGTGACCAGTCACATTGTCAGTAGTGATATGTTTTTCCTGTAAAGATGCGGCTGTACGCCTTTTATTTATTTATTCAGCTGTTTTTTTTTTACCGAATGTAGTTAGCTTACCTCGTTTTTGCCTACAATATTTAGTATGATATTTAGTATTCATAAGTTACCTCCTTAGTATGTAGATAAACATTTTTAAATACTTGTATATCAACCACAAGTAGTATTGTTTTGTGGTCATACATACATACACATGGAGGTGTTTGACAATTATTACTATTATTGTTTTCATTTCTAATGTTTATTATTTTAGCAAATAAAAGATGTCACTTGCACTGTCAGTCAAGACAAACAAGTGATGTGGCTTACATGAAGCAATTAGTGCATGATGGGACAAGATGCTCCTACAGAGACCCTCACAGCATCTGTGTGCGGGGAGAGTGCGTGGTAAGGAAAGAGATGTCATTTTCTAATTTGCTACACTTGTTAAATGCTTAACTAAAACACACTTTTTGCGATGCTCTATCACTGTATTTTTCTTTGAATATTGTTTTTTCTTTTTCTTATTTATTCACCTTTATATAGGAAACACAGAGTAGGTCTTTCATCCATTCACAGCAAACTCTGCTGGCAGTACTCTGAAATGCAGAGGATTGTGGGGAAAGAGTGTATTGCTATTCCACTGTTATCTCCCAAGCAACGCACTTTTATTTTAGTCATCATCCATTCTTACATTCTATATACAATTTTTGTATTAATTTCAGGCAGTTATAATTATGTATTGATTACTGATTGATTTACAAGTGCCATTTCTAACAAAAACGAATTAGTTCGAGGTAAAACACATCTGACACCAATAGAAAAAAATCTGCTGCATTTTTGTATCAATACATGAAACCTGTTTAAACATTTACACCATAACATTACATAACCTTATAATTTTGAAACTATTTTTTAGCTAATGATGTCTTTGAATCATTTTATGCACAGTTGATGACAGCATGCAAAATCAGTATCTGTAAATATTTGTTTTTCCTTATCCATAGATAGCTACAAACATCAGATCATTAAATGACCAAGCTAGATCATACATATTCTTTGAGCATCCAAAATACAGCCAAGTAAAATTCAAACTCTCCCTGCTTGATGGATAGCATCATATTGTAGTAGATGTGCTTCTAACAGGTGTTATGGTTTTATTTGGCAGGCAGTATGGTAAAAGCCAAATTACAGATAATCAGCCCATATCCATCAGCAGTACACAGTTTGGAAACTGTACTTTACTCTGTTGCCTATTTCCTTTCACAGAAAGTGGGATGTGACAAAGAAATTGGCTCAAACAAAGTTGAGGATAATTGTGGGGTGTGTGGCGGAGACAACTCTCATTGTAGGACTGTCAAGGGAACTTTCACTCGCACTCCCAAGAAATCGGGTAGGTTGGTTTTAAAACCTTTTATCACAGCATGCAGTACTGTCCCCAAAATACACAGTAAAGCCATCCCTCATTGTGAATAAACAACACTGGTTTGGGATGGTTTAGGATTTATTAAAACTTTACCAAGAAGACAAGCTAATATTCTGTATGTCATGTATGTGGGAGTACGGAGCAGGGAAAGAGGAGCAGGAGTCCAGGCAGTCGGGGAAATGTAGGATTTATTAAGGGAGAACACAAGCAGGAACACACAGTAGCACATAGAACTGACGTCAATGACCGGACTGGGGAAACATACTCTAACACGGAATTAAATACACAACAGGAAATCAACACGACTCGAAACAGCTGGTAACACAGGGATTCCACACGGGGTAGATGCGAGGGCGTGGCACACGGGCGGATCGGACGACCGGGGCGTGACACTGTATTTTAGCCACATTTTCATCTTTTGATATGAAATACAAATTTCATGAATATACCTCAAAAATATTTATATTTTTGCACTGTCATATATATATATGCTTCTCACTGTTATTAAAGCAATACAGCTACAAATGATAATGCATTTCAGTGAATGTACTTCTAAAACAGAATATTTCATGTAAAATCCCATTATAATCTTTTAGGCAACTTCTTTTTCATTGAGTGTTTTTTTTTTTTCCTTTTGATTGATTAGTTGTACAACCCTCGGACCCATTAATTAACAAGCTCATGATGTTATCCAAATCAGTATAAACATTACTACCAATCTGTAGAACTGAAAGCAAATCAAGTCTTGGTGAATTGTGCTACAGAATGTCCCACCTGGAACATGGAGGCAACCTTTCAGTTTAAGCGGTTATCACTACCTCTTGCAGATCTTTTTTATATATTCAGTTCCGTGCAAAATTTTTAGGCTGCCAAAGAAAATTATGTTTAAATGATCATCATGTTCATATAAAGCTATGATGTCTTCCAAAGTGTGTTAGCTTACCATTTCAAAATGTCTCCTTAAGTCACATCAGTATTTGCAGTAAACATCTAGTATATCCATGTATTTGTTGAATCGACCACCAGCATACCGTGTTTGGCTAGTCAGTATTCTCATAAAATTATTAATCTAAGTAAGCAGGTGGTGAAATCTAATGAATGCATTGAATGACTGGTGGCCCTGAACAGAGGTTTGGGAACTGATGTGGTGTTCATCTAGTCATCCAAGAAGATCAGTAACTGAAGAACAGAATCTGGACAGCTGAAGAAATACTAGTTTCTTTATTGCATTTTTTATTGTAGATATATACTAAATGATCAGAGAGCTTTAAACATTGAAGACCTAAAACTTTTACATATCTGCAGTAAAAGTAACTGATATCCTGTTGGATGGCTTTATGTTGAATTAACGTTGACAGACATGACGGAATAAGATGATTAATAAAAAAGTCTTGCATTTTGAAGAAAATCTATGTTTCTAAAACATATATAGACCGAAGTTAGCCATGGGTCAACTACACCACACTGGCAAAAATGGCAAGTACCATTTTCAACAACACAGGCAATGAAAGGGAATTCCTGTAGATTTATGTGTTATATATTGGCAGCAATTTGACACAGAAAACTTAATGTATGGGGTGATTTCCTTTTGCCTGTAATTTAACACTATGGCTTAGCCAGAATGCAAATGAGATTATCCAACAGCAATAGTGTGTGCATGGTGGAATGAATGAATGGAGACATTGTTACTCCTATCTGTTTTAATCTGAATCACGTACCTTTTTTAACAGGAAAAAAATTAAGCAAGAGATGCCAAAAAGAAATGAATTTGCTTGAAAGCAAAACCAGCAAGTATCCAGCGTTACTTAATGCCTTTGTCTTCCTATATGTTAGTCTTTTCTTTCATTGACTTGCTTTTGTACGTTAGAGGAATTAAACAAAATTCTCATTCATAGGTGCATAAATAATAACACTAAAATAATTCTTTCATATCACCCAATAACATGTCAGGTATTCATTCACAATGCCTTATGTAGAATCATGGAATTATGTGGAATCTCAGGTTTTAAAACATACAGCATTTAAGGTAACGTGAAATTGTAGCTGTGGAGTAAAATAATAATTATCATAAAGGCTTCATCTAAAGACTAAACTGGGAGTGTTATGATAGGAGAGGAAGTGCAAGGTTTTCTGGTTTAATTTAGTATTTCATTGTGGTGCTTAAACATGCACTGGACTGTCTTATTTTGGAATGGACAAGGCGGGGGTGTATGGAGTAGCAGGTATAAAGGGTGTAGTTTCCTTTATCTGGGTTCACAGAAATTGAACAGAGATAAAAACAACACAGGAGAAAAAGAGAAAAATAATAACAGCAAACATCCACATCTCACAAAGACACAACTGAAAGTATGGATGCAGTAAATACAGGTACTCTAACAGTTCAAATTGAAAAGTGCAGCTAAAAGTGCACTATATTTACAGTGCAGTAATGTTTAAGGTGGGAATTTTTTTTGTCTTAAGTGTTAAAAACTGTGACCACAGTAAGGAAAAAAAGTTTTGGGGATCGGAGATGTGTAGCATCTGCCAGAGAGCAGGGTCTGGAAAACAGAGTGAGCTGGATGACATTGGCATGGCATTGGGTGACATAATGAACTGAAAAGCTAGACAGGCAACAATTACCTTCAGAGAATTTGCAATGTAGACATAGCCTAACACTTTTTGAGAGAGCTACGTACTAAACCTTTCACTGGTATTTTTTCAGGCCATTCACCTGAAGAATGAAGGTGCAGCAAAATGACTAACATTATAGGAAGTATATTTTAATGTCATGACTTTATCATGTTGCCAGAAATGTTTAGTCTTATACAATCAGACAGGTCAATGTCCTATTTAGATTTTTCAGTCACTTTTCTCAATCTATTGTAGTCAGTATGTTGCAGTAATGCATAGATAGAAGGATGTTCTTATGTTCTTATGTTCTTATATGGTCCAGTTAACCTCACGCACCTCTCATATATATTTGTATAACTAGAGGATTCAAAAGCTTGACTCTGCAGTACCCCAGTCCATGTTGTGCTATGCAACACCCCTAATGACATGTCAGTGGATTCATTTGTTATTTGGTTATAATCAAGGCAGACATTACAGTTCTTGCTTTTTGAACATGGTCTGAATTGAACTGAGGACTGCATCCCCTACATGCCAAATAATATTTGGCATGCCTTTTAAAAGCATCCAGTGGAGGCTACATAGAGAGGGGATATTTTTCAGTGTGCCTGTCAGCAGCAATTATCATTAATTAACAGAAGAACTGCTCTGACAATGATGTGTTTATGACAGGAAAGAACAGAACTTAAGTTTCTCTGGTCTAGAACCTTAACATGTGATCACATTTCCACAGTGATTAATTACGCAATTGGGAACATTAGTGAAGATGGGATCTTTTAAAACAGTAACAAAATATTTATGTAAAGGGGAAAAAAGAGGAGCATCCTTTCTGGCTAAAGAAGCCAGTAATGTGTCTCTGAATGAAACAGAAGATTATAAAACATTTCTTGGTGAGTCTTACTAGGTTGCAGGCGTGTGGACATGCAGAAGTCAGCACCCAAACAGCAGTTTTCCTGTTTAACTGACAAAGGTTCACTTATTCATTCTTTTTTATAATTGTGATATTTTACTGTATGAAATGATCCTATAACAGACTAGAATGGTATTCAGTAATACTTTGTTTTACAAAATTCGATATGTTAATACAAGGGTCAGATATAAGACTCAAAATACCTTGGCTGATGAATGAATATGAAACCTTTCTCAGTTTTTTTTTTCTTTTGCAGTGATTTTCATTTGCAGGTTATTATGACCACGCACAATGAAAGGTCGTAGTAGATTTGTAGTGCGTTCCATGCTGTTATCTGTTAATTGTTAAAGAAAATTAAGTGTTTTCTAACCAAGTAGATGTCCACCTCTATAGCGAAACCTTTTTCCGTCACTAATCAGTTCTGTTGTATTTCTGAATCTCTGCTTATGTTGTTTTTGCAGATAAATACAAAGGCCACTTTAAGATGCTTCTCATCCCACCTGCTGCGAGACACGTGATGGTTCAAGAACATGAGGGATTACCTCAAATTCTTGGTAAGTGTTTCAGTTACATACTTATATACTTCTAAATTTGGTAAATGTATAGAGGATGCAATTTGAATTAAAGGCACTACTTTGAATTGACACTATAACTTCAGTTTTTTACATTTTATAAAAGCTACCTCATTCATTTTAAATAGCACTAATTCTAACTACCTGCCAGTGTTACAGTATTTTTTTCAAACATTAATTAATTCTTGCGAAGTAGAACTTACACCCAGATGGATACTGTATATATCTGCATATCTGCATATATATATGACAGCCTAATATCTCTCTAATAAATAACAATATTTTGGTAGCATCTGTATAGTGTGGATGGTGTGTGATTCACCTGGTTAAGCTTATATATATATATATATATCTCTAATAAATAACAATATTTTGGTAGCATCTGTATAGTGTGGATGGTGTGTGATTCACCTGGTTAAGCTGCTCTGCTAATTTACATTTGAATATGTATTACATGAATATAAGGTAATAAAACAGACAGTGTCACTCTTTACTTAATTTTACTGATGATTTTAAAACACAGTACATCTGTTTCAAACTCTTTTCAAATTACAGTATTGTACAAATTAAATTACAGAACTGTGTATAATTCAAATACACTGAAATACAGTATACTGTACATAAATATTCAATTCAATTTTATTTATACAGTACATTTTCACAGCGTCACATTGTCTCAAAGCATTTATTGTAGTTTTGCTGTTGCATCTTGGTGACTCGTTTTTGGACCAGAAGTAGACAGGTTACCTCAATGCAAAGTAAGGCTATCAAAGTAATCTAAAAAGAAAAAAGAATTACCGCAGTTTACATTTTTTCCATATGTTGTCATGTCAAAATGAACACTGTAAGCGCACTACTTGATTCCTATTAATTATTTGAACAGTATTTGTGTGTGATTCGGTCCCAAGCTTTTTGTTCCAAATAAGAAGTTGATCAATATAACCGTGATCACTATAAGCGGTTTTCACTGTACTAGTTCAAAATCTTGACTTGAATGTTTGTTTACTTTGCTGCGGTGTAGCGAGTTATCATTATGGAAAGGTAACTTATGTCTTGTAAAAAGAAATGTTACTTTAGATATTTAATTTAACAAAATGGATGAATGCTTCAAATTCTATCCATTCTCTTTTGGATATTGGTTTTGAGTGCTACACCTACTGTATGTATTACTTATTTCTAAAGGTAGCAAAAATGTCAATAATCAATGGATTATGAGAGGGTCCCTGCTATTTTTTTGTTTGGAAATTCATGATACATTATTATTGGAACTTCATTGCATCACAAATAGACCTTTTGATTTTTTTTTTTAATTTTTATATTTCAAGTATCATAATGTTATCCCTTACAAGATGTTTATTTCAGCAATCAAGAACCAAGCAACAGGACAATATATACTTAATGGAAAAGGAGTCGAGGCAAAATCAAAGACTTTCATTGATTTGGGAGTGCAATGGAATTACATCATTGAGAATAATGTTGAGACCTTATACACAGATGGGCCTTTAAATGATGAAGTGGTTGTTTTGGTAAGGATTCGGAAGTATTTTGTTATGAAGATAAAATATTGCTGTAATGTATCAAATAACGCATTATTACCATGCCTGTTAATTTTAATGAGTTGATACATTGGTAACACCTAAAGCAGTCATCATAGATACCCTCGTAATGCCCTGTAATGCATTCATGAAGTATTATAAATACGGCTATAACTTTTTATGAAAATGCATAACACATTATAGCCATGTTTATTATGCATTATGAATGCTCTATGAATGTCAGGGTCAGTGGCCATTTGTCCCTGCCCTTCATGTCACTTCCCCACTTTGCCAGCAGATGTTGCCATAATGACACAAATTTTCTGCAGACTTACCCTCTTATTTATACTTTACCCTCTTATAAATCATCGATTGAAACAAAACTGAATGTATGTTTGTCTATTTTAAGATTATCCCTCAGGATAATAAGACAACGTCTACTCTGATGTATAAATACATTATACACGAAGACTCCATTCCAGTCCACCACAACAATGTAATTCAGGAGGATATCTACGAATGGGCATTGAAGAATTGGTCGCAGTGTTCCAGACCTTGTGCTGGAGGTATCGTGCAAAAACAAATTCCCCATGTTACACTTATGCTTAATCAAATGCAATCAAATGAACTTGTTTGGTTTCAGGGTTTCAGTATACTAAGTATGGATGTAGAAAAAAAGGTGACAGCAAGATGGCCCATCAAAGCTATTGTGACGTCAGCAAAAAGCCAAAACCAGTCCGTCGAATATGTAACATGGAAGAATGCATAACACCACAGTGAGTAAATATCCTACAAAATCTAATACTTGTGTTAGAACTGTTCTGGGACAGACTGCGCGGTCTAATAAATATTAATACTTTTTGTTTTGGCGTTTATCGTAAGGAAAATTATTTGTCACATTTCTCAGATTCAGTTTTTCAGCTACCTTCCACAGTCTAAAGATATGCATTTAGGTAAATTGGCATCTGTACAATCACACTTACATTTACTTTATTTAGCTAATGCTTTTGTCCAAAGTGATGCGTGAATGTGGCAAATAGCTTATTACAAACATGCATGCTGTCAAGGAGTTGACGAAGCACAAGTGCGGATAGGTTGAGCTTGCAATGAATGCACAGTTACAAGTGTAAGCTGAAGAAACTCTGTGCTGTATGATTGCGTGTGCATGTTTGTGTCTATCAGTTAGCTCACATCCCACTTAGTGCAGGGGTGGGCAGTCTGATCCACAAAGGGCCGGTGTGTATGCAGGTATTTGGAATAACCATTAGGTCAGCTGTTCAAACCCAGGTGTGAGGACTCTTCAGCCAGTCAGTCCTTTAATAATCTAATTAGGGAGTTGCAGCAAAAACCCACATGCCTAATGGCCCTTTCTGGATAAGGTTGCCCACCCATTATCTAAGTGTACACCAGCCTTAATGCCTTTTCACAAGCCAGACTGTCTAAGCCTCATTTTGTATACTCATCCAGGTGGATAGCAGAAGAATGGGAGCACTGCACCAAGACATGTGGCAACTTAGGCTATCAGATCCGCACAGTGCAGTGCATGCAGCTCCTTCATGAAGGTGCTAATCGATCAGTCCACAGCAAGCACTGCAGTGGGAAGAAACCAGAGAGCCGGAGGCCCTGCAACAGACAGCTCTGTCCTGCTCAGTGGAGAACTGGGACCTGGTTAAAGGTATAGCAGGAGAAATTTTGCTTACAGTACATAATGTGCTCTCTGTAGATTGATGCAATTTATGTTATGGGGGGGGGCATGATGAAGGAGAGACTATCCATGTAGTGGCTCTGACAAAGGAGGGTTTTATTAACATGACGGAACACAAAGGGAGAATCAGAAAACAAAGGGATTGTCATGACTACGCTGGCATGGAAGGCAGAAGCATGGAAGCAGGCACAGGAGTCGGGTGAACACGGGGGTTATTAGGGGAAACGTACTCAGGAACACAGGGAACACAGGCGACGTTAATGACCTGACTAACTGAAAACACACAGACACGGACTTAAATACACCAGATTAATTAACACCGCTAGAAACAGCGGAAAACACGGGGATTCCACACGAGGCAAGTGAGGGGCGTGGCACACAGGAGGATCGGAACGATCAGGGCATGACAGGGATCACAAGGGAGCAAAACAAGACTAATAAAACAGAAAATAAAACAGGAAGTAACACCAGAAAACAAGAATACGAAAGGTAGGGAGGAACACAAGAAGCTATAATAACTAACATGGGATAACTGTATTAACCACACTTAACAATGGCACAGCTAACACAGGGCAACAGCCACAATGACCGACTGAGGAACAGAACCAAAGTAGGCACTTAAAGAAGCTAATAACAAAACTAGACGAAGGACAGGTGAGACCCATAACCAATTAACCAACCTAATAGGACTCAGGGCAAAAAGAAACAGTTGGGGGCAATCAGATACAGAAAAGGGCCAAAGACCAAGGAAAACTGAACACAGTACAAACAGGGACCAGGGAGCAAAAACAAGGGACCGTCACTGAAATACACAAACACATGATACAAGGAAAACTGAACATAGTACAAACAGGGACCAGGGAGCAAAAACAAGGGACCGTCACTGAAATACACAAACACATGATACACCAAGAAAAACCACAAAACAAATTACAACTAGCTAGCCTCAAACCCACAACAAAAGGGCAGTCAAAGCATTTTAACAAAAGCTTATATTCACACACATCACCAACCTTCATTTCAATTAATAAGACAATCAATCAACAACAAGCTTTTTAAAATCAAGTCAATTGTATTAACTGCTGTTATGTCAGGGAATTGCAGCTGATGGAACAGTGAACTTGATTTTTAGTTCAGCATAGCATGCTTCTATTATTTAACAATAAACTAGCTATGTCACATGATGTCCTGTAAGACTTAAATTCTCTATTGGTATGTGAATAATTTAGAATATACCTGATGATTGAAAGTAGCTTATTTATTATTTAATATAATTTCAGTGTTCAGTGACGTGTGGAGAGGGTGTGGAGCATCGCCTGGTGACTTGCCCCACTGGGGGTCAATGCAATGGGGACAAACCAGAAGCCATCAGGCCATGTAAGCGCGGCTTGTGCCATGGTAAGTCAACTCTGGAGAGCAAGTGCATGCCTAATTATTTGATTGTTAAGCATTTATGTCGTTATGCTATGGCATATGGGTTGTAATGGGCTATCCAATCGTATAAATATGACGCTAACAGTGACAATTTAAAATAAGTTCCATCCATCCATCCATTATCTGCTGCTTATCCAGGGTTGGGGTGTGGGCACAGCAATCTAAGCAGGGATGCCCGCACCTCCCTCTGCCCCTTGGGTATGCCTAGTAATTTTGTCCATAAAAGTTATGGGCAGAATTGGTGACAAAGGACAGCGTGGTGGAGTCCAACACCCACCAAGAATGAGTCTGACTTACTGCTGGCAATGTGAACCAAACTCTCGCTCCGTTTGTACAGGGATCTGATCCCCCACAGGACCCCCCAAGGGACATGATCGTATACCTTTTCCAAGTCCACAAAACACATGTAGACTGGTTGGGCAAACTCCTGTGAACCCAACGGTATCCTTGTGAGGATGAAGAGCTGGTGTAGCATTCTGCAACCAGGATGGAATTTGCATTGTTCCTCCTGAATCTGAGGTTCAACCAATGAACAGACCCTCCTCTCCAGTACCCCGGCATAGACCTTCCCAGGGAGGCTGAGGAGTGTGATCCCCCTAAAGCTGGAACACATCATCAGGTCCTCTTTCTTGTCGATTGGGACCACCACCCCAGCCTGCCAATCCCAAGGCACTGTCCCCAACATCCAAGTAATGTTGTAGAAGCATGTGAGCCCATCATCATCAAGAGCTTTCAAGAACTTTCGAATCTCATCCACTCCTGGAGCCTTACCACTGAAGAGTTTTTTGACTACTTCAGTGACCTCAGCCGTAGAAATGGGCAAGTTCTCCTCTGACATTAGCCAGGCAGCTGGTGGTGGACTTCAGCAGGAGACAGCAGCGCTCCTACACTCCCCTAAACATCAACGGGACTGCAGTGGAGAGGGTGAGCAGCTTTAAATACTTGGGTCTTTGTGGACCCAACAGTCAGAACCCATCCCCCAACTTGAAGTTTAAGGAAGGTGACCCTCTCATTCATCAGGGTACATACTGACACTGAACCGGGGGCTATAAGTAGAGCCATCCCTGCCCAGCACCTCTCACGATGGGAACTCCAGAGTGCAATAGAGTGCAGCCCCTCACCAAGGAGTGTGGTTCCAGAGCCCGAGCCATGTGTTGAGGTGAACCCAACAATATCTAGTTGGTATCTCTCTACCTCCCGCACCAGCTCAGGCTCTATTCCCACCAGAAAGGTTACATTCCACATGCCAAGAGCCAGTTTTGGTAGCTGACAATCGAGGCCCCTTCCTTCGACCGCCACCTGATCAACATTGTATCTGATCCCATAGGTGGTGGGCCTTGGTCTGGCTCCAGGGCAAGGCCTTAGTCTCCCAAATCCAGACAGGGTAACATGGTCCATTGTATTGTTCATCATATAAGTACAATGCAATTCATTGTAGCTTCCCTCCTTTAACCCAGTGATAAATACACTATATGGATAAAAGTATTAGGACACACCTCTTATTCATTTAATTCAGATGTTGGTGCATAAAAGTCATCAACACTGTTGTCTCAGTAACTGCCGAGTTCCAGACTTCCCCTGGCATTAACCCCAACACACAAACTGTTTGCCGGGACCTTCACATAATGGGCTTCCATGGCCAAGCAACTGCATGCAAGTGCAATGTCAAGTATTGGATGGAGTGGAGTAAAGCACGCTGACACTGGACCTTGGAGCAGTGGAAACGTGTTCTGTGGGGTGGCAAATCATGGCCAACATCAGTGCCAGTCCTCACAAATGCTGCCTTTCTACTGAAATCTTTTCATATATTATTGAAAACAAGCTCCTAAAGTTGTTTGAAAACATAAAATGTTTAACACTTAATGTAATGTTAAATTGAGCCAAATGGGATTCCATTGTAACTTTCATTGCACAATGTCAAACTGCAAACATTGCATTTGTGTGCAACATGTGCAACTTAGTTTTAATTTACTTGTAATGATTTTGCATGTTTGTCTTTTCTCCCAGATGAACAGTGCACTGGGGATAAGTCCATTTTCTGCCAAATGGAAGTTCTAGCCCGATATTGTTCAATCCCAGGCTACAACAAACTGTGCTGTGAGTCCTGCAGCAAGAATGGCAGCAGTCCCACTCCCTTCTTCTCTGAAGCTGCTGAGGATGAAGAAGAGGTCAGGTTTCATACAGACCACATTTCTAAAATCTTGAAAATCTCATAACCTTTTTTTAGAGCCCAATAACACTATTGATCACTCACTACTTCATTTTATTTCTCCTGCAGTTTCTGTCCTGAGAAAAATCTTCAATATAAATAGTTTGCCTCAAAGGTGGTTCATGCCTCCTACTTACTGTGGAGGAAGGATTTTACCTGTGTCATATTCAAGACAGCACAAAAGCTAATTGATTTGCTGTGGAGGAAATATGCATGTTTCTGGATGTTCTGAGGAGGAGCGATGAGTTTTAAATGCTGCAAAACCTGAAAGAATATATCTCACAACAGCCTGGATAATTTATATTTTAAAATTTAAATAGAAAGAGAACAGAAAATAGAAAGTGCTGGTTCACTTTAATAATGAACATTGTATTCTGCCTGGAGGAAAAAATACCAAAGACCTCAATATAATTACAGTCACTTTAAAGAACTTTGTTGCAGTCAACAGTGGCAAGACTATTATTTTTAGATGATATTTCTCACCAGATTTCCAGTAATATATGTATAATTTGTCATGTACACAATATATCTGTGAAATATCTGTCATATTTGAGCATAAGAGTATAAGAACATTTAATGTCAATGTTAAGAATTTTCACACAGACACTTCAGCGTCTGGTTCTAAGATCAGTTCTTTTAAAAAATCATGTTAAAAAGAAACATATGTAAAAAAAAAAAAAAATCGTGAGGTTATAGATTGGAAAGTTGGAAAATGTTCTGGTATGGCTTTTGTAGCAGCAGAACCTTTTATTTATGGACACCATGTTCACTTACAATACAGACATGAGCTAAACTAAGAAAACCGGGTGGCACAGTGGACCGGCTGGTAGCACCAGCATTCCACCTCTTTGATTCAGGTTTCAGTCTCGCCTCTGAGGCTTCCACATGCACCGCATGCAAGTCCGGTTTCCTCCTGCATACCACACACATGTTGTTATGCTCGGTTAGGTGTCTTTAAAGTGTGTGTGTGTGTGTGTGTGTGTGCGCCCTGTGATGGACTTGTGCCTGATCCAACGTGTACCCCCGCCTTGTGTCCTGTGTTGCCTGGGATACGCTGTTTTACCCCCCATGACCCTGACCAAGATTAGCAGCTGGAAGACAGGTGGATAAACTGATAACCCATGATTTATCTGAATGTGCATTCCTTGATACAGAAGTATTAAAAACAAACACAACAAATGTTCCTCTCCAATGGAAAAAGAAAATGAAAATAAGGAATATGTATAGCCAAGCTGCCATATATGTAGAGCATATTGAATAAGGTTCTTTGGAAGAACTGTATCACAACCACATCACATTTGACTGCAATAAGATATATGTACGTGACTTTAAGGATATTATATTGGTATGTTTCTTGTGGTGTGCAGAACAAAGGATTTATTTATTGAAAATTTCTATTTCATTTCCATACTGATCTGTCAATACATGCCTTAAATGCATTAAATAGAAATTGTTTTCTTTTTCCTGTTGACACTTGCCAACCCCCATGATTTTTAAAACATTGTTCTCCTGTCAGAATAACGCTGAATGAGTTAAAATTTGTCATTTTTCAGTAGCATATATCAGAATGGATAGATGGATAAGTACTTGTTTTATTATTAATGTTGCATTTTAAGCTATTTCTGCACAGCCAGGTGTAGTAGAAATTTTCATCAGAAACTTGAATTACATACTGTATATGCATTCCGACTATTTAAAATGGGGGCTTTACAAAGCAAAAGATATGTGCCTTTTATCATTTTTAAGTGTTTAAAGTGAAAGAGAAATTGTATTATAATAATTTTATAGGTGTTTAGCTGCTGAATAACGATAAGCAATTGCTTTTAATAATATGTTTACATTTTTAATAGATTAGCATGGTTAGTTTGATTTTTAATTCAGACAGTTCAGATATATAGAATATATATGGTCTATCCACACAGTATTACCCATGCCTTTGTGACCTTTTGTATTTCTAATCTTGCATTTTTTTCTGTGTAAACTACTGAAGCCATTTGTTGTAATGGGAGCAGACTGAAATAAACATACTGAACCTTACTTACCATGTTTTTTCTTTGCCTCTTAAGGATTTTCAAGATCAGGCATTTTAATTCATTTATTCTTTGTCACATAGCTGAGTTAGCCTTTCAGTCCAATGCATTTTTATATTTAGTGCTGTTTACAAGGTCACAAAGTACTTGGTCCCCGGCTTGAGGTAACAATGGCAAGGAAAGACTCCTTTACAGAGAAGAACAAATCTTGGAACCAAACTCATGGGGGAGGTCCATCCACCTGTGAGCAGCACTGAGCAGTATAAGGTTGCATAATTTAGTGCAAGATGAAGTCAGGCAGGTGGCAAGAGAACAGAGGCGGACAAACAGATGGGCAAGTGAGCTTAGGCAGACAGCAAGGAGGTGGGGTAGCACAAGCAGGCTGAAACACAAGTGAACCTGCTCCCTTGCATGCGGACCTCTGAGTTGTTCCCTCCCCAGGTGAGAGGGAATAAGAAAAGTGCATCAACAAATGTGGAACAGAAAAATGACAATGCAACATACAAGTGTGAGTGAAGGAGGGAGAAAACATGACGAACCAATGAGGAATCATGAGGCGGCAACCAATCAACACAAAACCACATGCAGAGCAAGAACAACAGGGCCAACAGTGCGGTTTGTCCAAAGTCAGTGATACTGATCCACACCCAGCTCTACGCCTCAAACTGTAACCCAGTGTGGGGTAACTACCAAAAGCCTGTAAGCTAAATTAAACAAGTACATTTTTAGCCTAGACGTTAGGATTGAGAGGATTGAAAGTAAGTCTGAATCCCTTAACACAATCTGCATATACTCATATTCTTGATTAAAAGAAGGAAAAATAAATTAATGTTATATCACTGTTGTTTACAAAGATTTTCTGGACGATAGCCATAGAGCTCTAGAAGAATTCCCTGCAGCCTAACATAGACTTTATCACATCACACAGAGTCAAACAGGTACTTTAGTCTAATTTGCACAAAGTTTGTTTAACTTAAATGACCGTATATCGGGGTGCATATCTGCTAATCCTTAAGCATTTTTCTCTCAAGCAGATCAACCAGCTCTAGGCTACTATGGAGAGAATTATTAAATTTACAGATATCGTTTCAAATTCAGTCGCATTAGAAGCTTCTTTTTTTTTTAGTATTTTTAATATATCAGTGTTACATTTTAGACATTGAAATGTATTGCTATATAAAAGTCAAACAAAACAATAATCTGAAAAATGTGCAAGAATAATGTTAAAAATATCAATCACCATGTACACTGAAAAAAAAGTTAATGAGTATAAAAGTTAAAACATGCATCCATCTTTCAACAGCTTTTCCTTGTCAGGATCATAGAGGGGTCCTAAAGGCACAATGCAGGGGCTGCCCCTTGGATGGGATGCCAGTCCCAAATGGAAAAACATATTTTGTGTTTCAGCCACTTGGAGAATTATAATTTTATTTCTAGCACAGCAAATATGCCATGTCTGGGGAAAAAAATGTATGAACACAATTATCTGTAATAAAAAAATTATATAAGTCAAATTTGGCAACAATTGAAGAACTGGATATTATATTTATATTGTTATAGTTAATGGAGATTTGAAAATCTTTGAGGCCGATTTCTCAAGAAGAATCCATTGTCATAAAATATTTACAATCCAGAATCTTTGAAATATGACTTTAAAAGAAACGTTAAAAATCATTAAAAACTAAAGTTTAAAAACAGACTGCAGAGTAACATAAACAGGATGTTTATTTCCTAATATCTGCTTTTGATTATAAACAAAAATGTAATAAAGGCTGCAATTCAGCATGGTAAAATACTGCTCTAATAACCTCAAGACATTCCCATTCTTGTTCTTATATTACTCTGCGTTCATCATATGATATAGGAAAATATGTCCTCCTCCTCCTCAGATACTGGTCTCTCGGCATCTGTAATGACAGAGGTCAGCTTAAAACATACGCTGCATTATGTTTAGAAAAAGTGTCAACACTTTATAATTTCCTGACATAATTCAAAGTTTGCATATAATTTGCTTCCTACATATCCTGCAGATTTTCATTAACACGTGACTGCACTTGTGTGCTATCAGTCAATTTAAAAAGCCCTTACTGTTAGTCTTATCGCTATATATTTATAGAGTTGCTTAAACCAATATATGATTTCACTACAGTAAGGCCATACATTGGCAGCTGTTCAGCATGATGAATCTCTTTCAAGCAAATTTGGAGGCTTCTCTCCTGTGGAAAAAAGAGAGACATTTGCTTTGCATCATACAGTATGTGTGACAACATAATCTGCATATACTCATATTCTTGATTAAAAGAATGAAAAATAAATGAATGTTATATCACAGTTGTTTACACAACCCTTTTTAGGAACTGCTTTGTAGCAATCATTTATCATTCTATGGTGATATGACTGGATGACGTCAAAATGGCAATTTCTTTACTATTTTCATATTTTTGCTATCAAATAAAAGGCAGACATTAACATATGATTCTAATCAGGAATAATTACTTACTGTCAGACTTTGTATCACTTAAAAAAAGCTCCTTTTCTATGGTATCCATGGGTATTTTTATACTGGGGACGCTTTCATTGTAGGGACAGTCACACTGTAGCAGAAATATCAATAGAGAATTACATTCAATATTCACATGATAAACAAGCTCAGGCTAATAACATATAATCATATTACAGCTACTATTTTTATTAGTTCTCAAAAAATATTGGTGAGACACTGAATCGTTTTTAATATGACTTTATTATCTCACTCATATAAAATAAAAATGCTTTTTCAATTCTCAATATTACTCTGGACGTGGTGGATGGGTTTGTGTGCTTCATTGATCCTATGTCTTCTAGAGGTCTCCCCTGACAAACAGGTTTGTCAGTAGAAGCCAAGTACCGAGAAAACCCAGAGTACCCTAGACAGAACAGCATTACTGGGACCCACGGCTCTGTTTAAACCTGTGAGTTCTGTTCACCAGCAAGCGGCTGGTGGCTATAGGCCACTCAAGCAACCTGCCAGAATTCCCTCCAAAATAGCTACATGGATTTTTGTGAGCTCACCATTCATAAGGTAGGGCCCAGGTACAGAGTGTTGTGTGCATGTGTACACTGAACTGAGGTTTGGAATACCCAGCTTTTTTTGAGGATGTTGGTACAGTAAGATGCTCAAAATGGTACCTTTTTTGGTTCGACTGGGAGACATAATTGCCATATGGGGAAAAATGAAGGGATGTATCTGGGAATAATGACCTCCCAGATCTAAACCTGAGTAGTGAACTCATATTAGACTTCTGTGCAAGCTAAAGATTATCCATGTAACAAGCCCCATGTAATGAACCACATGAGCCAACACAAGAATGTTTATAAGCATAACTGGGACCAGAACGCTAAAGGCGTCCAACTAAGGTCAATGGTTGACTTGATAATAGTCATCTGATTTGAGACTGTGTGTTTTAGACAGTCAGGTGAGTAGAGGGGCACAGAAATGAACTGATCTCCTTCTGCAGGTGCATTTCATTCGGTGCATGCAGAGGAGGCTAAAGGAACACCCTATAAGAAGTTCCCTAGGAATATCTGGCTGAAGTGTCTGTGCACAATGAATTCAACTTACACCTATGGAAACAGTTCCGTATCTCTTTCTGTCGCCAAAAGGCAGGTGGTGCCTATCGTGACAGTAACACTAGAACCTGCTGGTTGGCACCAGTATTGAAAGACACAGACAATCCAGAAAGGCTGCAGACAAGATAGTGGTGGAGCCAAATCTTCATGGAAAATTTGGAGATAGTATTGGGTAGCCTCTAGTAAGGATTTTTTTCTGCATTCTTGGCACAAAGTCTACATTGTTTAGAGTGGGTATTAATCTCCAGTACTGGTGCATCTTGTCTCCTTTCCTATTTGCAATTCTCATGGACAGGTTATCAAAGTGCAGCCATAACTGGAATGACAAGGGGTTCAAGATGACCTTTAGCACACATCTGAGTGGTTCAGTGTCAAGAGTGAAGCAGCAGGGATTACAATCAGCAGCTCAAAATCTGAAGCAATGGTGCATTTTCAGAAAAGTCTGGATTGCTCATATTGGGCACCTCAGGGTCTTGTTCCTGAGTGGTCATAAGATGGACTATGAGGCAGATCATTTTGCTTGCTGCAATTTTGTGGGCACTAATAATTAGACTTAATATAGACCTTCCTGATTTGCAGACAACACCACACTTGTAGTTCTAATCAAAAATAGAGATGAGACCATATTCACGAAGATGGTGGGGATGTCCAGGGATCTCATTTATCATAGTTCTGTATACACAAAAGGAAGCCCAAAATGCACACCAAATCCAGGATTTATGAACCAAAACTTGATTAAAGTCAGGGGCAAATGTACACAACATTGTATAAACTGGGAAATGATGACACCCAATGAAAACCACGTATGTCCACTTTTTGACAATTGTAACTTTTTACTATAGATAAAACACACCCATTCTCCCCTGTCTACTGATATCATTAGACATCTAGATGTTTTATGAAGTCATTTTTTCACTACTATTTGTGTTTGTACTAGTTTACATCTATATTCATGATGGTTGATTGTATGGATTACTTTACAGTATATTGCTCATTTTAACAATCTAACGCTGATAGCTAGAAAGCTGGGTCAACTAATACCATGGTTAATTGTGAATATAGAGTGAGATTAGTTTGTATTTTGTTGACACTGACATATTTCCGTCACTGACAAAAATCCACGAGTCCATTTAAAACACTAAACAGTTCAATGATGGCTGTGTGAAGGTAAAAGTAGTTTTTGAGAAAATTTGATTTTTAACACCCCAAAATAATGATTTGGAGATATGTTTTTCATTGGACAGGCACAATATAGAAATAGCCTACAGTCTTGAGAATGTGATACAGCATAATGGTGTTCTTGCTGTTGACTAGGTTACAGGTCAGGTCAGGTCAGTTTGGGGAGCATGCACTGATGCAGCACGTTGCCGCACCCACCACATGATGAAATGCCTCGAGATCCCGGCTGGCGAACCCCCCAGGCAGACACATGGTCCAATCCCACCCTCCGGAAATGGCCATCCATCTGCCACAGTCAGGTATTATGTGGGTGACGCCTCGGCCTGGTCCAGCCACTCGGGTCCTCAGTAACTGGATAGCGTCCATGTCTCACAGCCATACAGCAAGACAGGGAGCACCAGGACTCTAAAGACTTGGACCTTCATCCTCTCGCAAAGATATTTGGAGCACCACATACCCCTTTCCAGTGACCTCATAACCCCCATGCTCTCCCAATCAGTCTATTGACTTCATGGTTCTTATTCCTATTTTAGATGCTATAAGCATGTGTATGTGTGTGTGCATGCGTGTGTTCGCGCACATGTGTGCATGTGAGAAAGTTAAATATTTAAGAAATATTCATCAATATATTTTCCTGTTTCTAATAAAGACCCCCAAATATAACATTTTGTTGTGCCTCTATCTCGCTTTGTTCCAAATTCCTATTGTTAGTGTTTTATTTTTTTATTTTTAACACCCCAAAATAATGATTTGGAAATATGTTTTTCATTGGACAGGCACAATATAGAATGTGATGCAGCAGTTTGTGGTTATTTACAGCTATTGCCAGACTTCACAAACAAAAAATCATAGTACAATTCTACAGCGTCTCCATCAAGAACATCCTCACATACTTCATCATTTTCTTTTTTGCCACTGCATCTGCAACTACAGCACATAAGTTGTTCTGCTAAGATTATTGGCTGAAATCACCCTCCACTGAATACCTTTAAAATTGCAGGACAGATGAGAAATAAGTATCCGTCACCCTTTTGTTACAGAAACTCTCTTCTAGGAAATGCTATTAGTAAAGAGAGATGCTGGACCTTGTGTCAGGGCTTTAGATAATGGCCACACTAGCATATTCATGCCACTCATGTCACAATGCTGGTTTTCAGCACTATATGTATCACCTCCTGCATCCCTTTCCCCTTGTTTTCTCTGTTGTGTGGCTCTCATGAGCCACACCTGTAAATCTGACCTCTCGTTACAGCCCTCGTGTGAATCACCCCATATACTATATACAGTATGCTTTGCTTGCAGAACTTGAGTGATGCTGATTCTGAAATTGTCAGATGAATTTTGCGGATTACTGGTCTACATCCCTAACCTCACTGATGGTCATGATCCGTGGGCAATTACCGAAAGAACAAGGTACAAGTGGTGAAAATGAGCTTTCTCCACAGGGTTGCCATGCTCACTTTGCATGGAGTTTGGACATCCAGGGGCACCTCAAAGTAGGGCCTCTGCTCCTTCAGACTAAGATTAGTCAGTTGAGGTAGTTCAGGATTACCATCAAGATGCCACCTGGTAAACATCCAAGGCAGCTGCTTTGGGCATGTTCCACTGGGAGGAGGCCTCAGGGCAGACCAAGGACACACTGCAGGGTGGGATTATATCTTCCAGATGGCTTGGGAATGTCTGGGGATCACCCAGAACAAGCTAGAGACTGCAACCTGGTCTGATCTGCTCAACGTGCTGCCAGTACAGCCCTCCCCAGATCAAAAGGTATGAGGATGGTGGTGAATATTCCAAATTCTAAAAGCTCTAAATGAAGTCTATACTACAATCATATGCTTGTTCCTGTAAGAAACGTAAGAACAATGAATAGTGTGTGTGGAAAATTATTTTATATTTTATATGAATCTGTTGAGAATGACTGAAAAGCACTCACATCTTCAGTGTCACTGTCTGCGCTTCCCTTCTTCTGGGTGTCTTCCTTTTTCTTCTTGTCTTTTTCAGGAATTACATCATCCAGAAAGCTAAGGTCATGCTGGGAAAAAAAGTAGTCCATACCCTTCCTCACAGCCACTAGAGCCAGGATCTGGGGGAGACATTTAACATAATCCATCCAAGATCTAATCAGTATTCCTGGTCATGGGGGTCTGCAGTAATTCATACTCCTTAATCTCATTCAGCTATTTCAGTGAAAGGGATACTTGTTTATGTTCAGTACTTCTGTACCAAGGAATATACAGTAAGATTTTTCACCAAGGTTACTCAGCTTATCGATCCATCTTCCAACATGGTCAGGGTCACAGGAAGGGGCTAAAGGCCATTGCACTCCAAGTCCATAGTTTTTGTCTGAAATTGTCGCACATGTAAATATAAATACAATGTTTTCACACCGACTCCAAAACTTTCTGCCATCATTAAGTTTGTGAAACAGGTTCAATTGGCTACATTTTTCGGATTCAAGAGCTATTGACCATGATCTTGCATGTATGTTGCAGCGTTTTGAAGCTGTACGCTGAATGTCTGCCAATCACCTAGACCACATTTTTCTAATGGCACAATTTATATTGCCAATTAAGCTCATTTACGTGTGCATGGGTGTCCCTACATTGGACACACCGTCAGTCAAAGTTCAGGAACAACTGGATTGTGGAAATTGGTGGTGATTGCGAAATACACGTTGAAATGATCAGGATAATTCCACAGTTTCCAAATCAATCAGGTGAAAGACTCAGTATTTTCTGTCTTTTTTTCCAGCTCAGAAATGAGAGAACCACATAATCATCCTCAGTGCTTGACAACTCCATTTTGTCTCGTATTGCAAATTTTTGCAATTATACAATAAAACGTATAGGACTCAATGTGCAAAGTTTCTGTGCGTAATGATTTTTATTGGGTGATGGATAAAAAAAAAGTGTATAAAAACCTCGGACTTGGTGTATAAAGGCCTTTAGAGTCTATTTCAGGCAGCAGGGAGCATAAAGCGGGGATACACCCTAAATGGGATGCTAGTCCATTGTAGGGCACACAGAACCATGCACTATGGCCATTAACAGTGTGATATACGGAAGGAACCTTACCATCAGTGGAAAAATAATGGCTGCCACAGTAGATTTGAGAATCCAAAGAAGAGCCAGACAGAGAATTTGGAAAAATGTGAAGAGATGAACCTTGCGCAGGGGCACATGTCTCAGGTAGATCAGATCCGGTTGGTGCTTGGCTGGCATTAGGAGCAACTTAAGGCGGTCCATAAACTTCAGAGAGAAACACAATGGTAAGGCTTTGATATAAATAGGAATATTTGGTTCAGAACTTTAAAATACTAAATAGTATTCTAGGGAAGATAAGTTAATTACTAACAGCATTTTAATTTTGAAGCAATGTGATTAAATTGCAATTAACTGTCCAGATAGATAGATAGATAGATAGATAGATAGATAAAGAAATGTGCTTCAATTAATCTTGCAAATTAAAAATTACACTGGAAAACTTGTAAATATGTCCAAATTATCATATAATTTGTTTATTGCTGTATTTCTGTATCCCACCTGAACACCTTTAAGAGAGGCCACCCCCATGTAGAGGAATACTCCATACAGAACAGGCATTGGAATGAACTGCAAAATAGAAAAAAAAACAAAGAGTTATAAATAAAGATAAAGATCCCTACATTTGAGTTTGAGAACTGAGGTACCACTGTATTTTGAAAATTAATCGATATGTAGCTTCGGCACATGGCTCCAAACTTCTTGTCTGCATTCATCCAGTTTGACCATATATTAGCATAGTAAACAATGAATTAGAAATACTATATACTTCAATCTTGTATTAAAATGTTTTAATACAGTAATACGCAAGCAAATAATTTGTTACATAGTGTGTTCATTTAAATGTTTTTTCTACAATTTTCATCTCTGAAGTTGTCTTCTTGAAAGGATTAGAAATTGGAAAATAATAATAAATACCTTGAGTATTGGAGACATGAACACAGATAGTCCAGTCAAAATGAAGACAAAAACACCAGTGACTCTCTGTTCCCTGGGTAGATAAAAATCTCTACTTACATTCATATTAAATAAAAGATGAATGTTGACAGACACATAAATCTATGAAATCGATCGGTTAGCTTTTTAGTTTTTTTCCATTCAACTTAAACCAAATTCTATAACTAATGGAAATCATATAATCTGATAATATTTCTGTAACACTGCACTAGTAACTGATTTTTGTTCAGCTACCAGTTGAAGCTTCATGTGCTATCTTAGGCAACTTAAATAAGCAACCATATGGTGCTTAAAATCTCTCCACAAATTATAGTCAAATAATATTTGAAGATGTTAAAGATGTTTAAGTGTTTAAATTCTTATATGAATAATAAATACATGAACATTCCAATGAGCATTTACCAACACAGATCTATTGTACAGAAATCACATGTTTGCTGTAGAGCAATGGGTCTCACACTCTGGAAAGGTTTGCAGATGGCCTACCTTACTCCCAGAAATTTGGGCTGCTCTCCAGGAGCAGATGTCTCAGTTTCCATCTTCAAACTGTCAATGTGAGCAATGGAGATGACAGTGGCTGCCACATACCATGGTAGTCCCATAAAAGAACACAAAATTATTAAAACTGCAACCCAAAAAAGGTCCAGATGATACCCAGCTCCTTTCTGTGGGGGAGGGGCAGATTTGAAAAACAATGCAACAAACATTATAATTTTTAGTGCAAAGCAATTCATTGCATCATAACATTTTCTAGAGATTTATAACAAATATAGAGGAAATACACAAAATACAGTATATCTTTAAAAAAGTAATCGGAGGATTATTTAGAGGCACAATACACAATACTTTTTCTGACGTATTTGAATCACGCCTCTGATAAATGCCTTAAATTTACTAAAAACTAGAACTAACACTAAACATCTTTCATTTTCCTTTCTTCTACTGTTTACCAAACTCATATCCAACTCCACACCCAATTAAACTTCCTGTCCATTTTTTCCATGTCAAATGATTATATTAATTTTCATACCAAGAGAAAGTTGTAATAAATTATGTCTCTTTTGCTAAAGGGTAGGCTACTGAGCATGTAGCCCTTAGAGTATAGCATTGGGACATCTTGAATTGTGCCTCATCTTAATAGCCCACCTTGAGCTTGTGTTCTTTCCTGTTGATAATGACAGCCGTGATCTGCTGGTCCATGAACAACAGAATAGTGACAAGCAGGGCAGGAACAGCTGATATCACATACACCCACCAAGGGTTTCCACCAAATGGAAATACGAACCAACCCCTGTGTGGACTGGTTGGCTGGAAAGAAACAGTTTGTTTAAGCTACCAGCATCATCACAATTACAAGACCAGATTCTTTTGATGTGCAATATAATATATGGCCGGGGTCACCGACTGCGGTCCTGGAGGGCTACTATCCAGTAGGTTTTCTATCCTACCTGGCTTCTGATGAGCCACACTAGTTCTCAGGTAAATACCAGGAGCAGGTGTGGCTCATCAGAAGCTAAGGGGGAGAGAAAACCTACTGGATAGTAGCCCTCCAGGACCGGAGTTGGTGACCCCTGATGTATGGCATCGATCATCCAGAACATAAAGATAACATATATATATATATATATATATATATATATATATATATATATATATAATGTAGATTGCAAAAACTTTAGAAGATAAAATGCAGGATAAAGAGGAAATTTTAATATGCACATATTGATTCACCTTGAATTCAGTTGGCACAATGAGTTTTGGTGTATCCACCCCTACCAGTGCATCCACACCACAGAAAATTAAAATGGCCAAGATAATAGCAAAGTCACTGACAAGTTTTCTCACCTGGTATAAGACATAACAAAAAATAACAATAGCAATATGGGAAGACAGCCTTATGTTTTGTGGACACATAGAATGCAAAGGAATTACACAAAGATAAATGGTGATTCATCTTTCAGTAGATAGCTTAACAAGGACAACCACTTGAGACAAAAAAGAACGAATATAATGATATAATATAATGATGTTTTTGGTCAATGTTTTTAAAAACAAATGCTTTTAGTCAACCAAAATTCTTTTTCATTTTAAACTGCAAAACAATAAATGCAATACATGAGATCATTACACATTTGTTACTGGTGGGCACCAGAACTTTAATAAGGAAATTGTTTTTTTTGATATCAAATGAACAACAAGTTACAGTAATACTCACTGTGGTGGGAAAGAAAGTACTTGTCTTGAACTTTTTAAGGGACATGGAGCATATGTAAGTCCCAAAGAAAAGAATAAAGGATATTAAGGTTATGTCAGGGACAAATTTGCAAGCCTTCCCAACTAATTCTCCTCCATATTTTATACAGTCCTTCTTTGTCAGAGATGACCAAGTGTCCTGAACAGACAAAAAACACATTAATCAGAATCTAAAACTATTTATAAAGCATTACAAACCTAAACGAGTTCTTTAAAACTAACAATAAAAAACAATGACAAATGAAAGAATTGGTCTATCAGTAAACAAATGTATGACATGATGTGTGTGTGTGTATGTAGTATTCATTATAAATCACATTTTAAATTTATTATAAAAATATATAGATACAAATATGCATACATTACTGCACACCAATAAGTTGATCTGAGTCATACTATTAGCAATCATTTATAGCATATTGAAGTAAAGCAACTTGCCAGTTCAGTGACATTGAGCATCCATGTGGAGACTTCCAAAGAATCACTGTACAGTCCTGATTTATTATCTATATGAACAAAAATGAATATCCATTTAACTATTACATTTAACTATACTTTAGGATACACTTGCTTTAATATTTCACTGAATAGTTTTTTTCCCCCTCCATCCATTCATCCATCCAGCCTATTATATGGTTACCTTGTGGTAACTCCAGAACAATGCATGTAAGAGAACCAGGCTTGTTCATTTTAGGACAGCAAAACAGATTATAATTCTTAGCAATATTATGGATACTAACAAAATCTTAATTACACTAAAATTCTTTGAAGGTAAATAAATATACATCCATCTTCCAATCCACTTATCCTTCTGGGTCACAGGGGGTCTGGAGCCTATCCCAGAAGCTACAGGCATGAGGCAGGAAACAACCCAGGATGGGGGGGGGCAGCCCATCGCAGGGCACACTCACACACCATTCACAATTTAGTAACTCCAGTTAACCCCAGCATGTCTTTGGACTGTGTGGGGGGGGGGGACGACACCACAGGGGGAACATGCAAACTCCACACACATGGAACCCAGGCAGAGACTCAAATCCAGGTCCCAGAGGTGTGAGGCAACAGTGCAGACCACCACACCACCATGCCACCCAATAAGTATGCATATTTTATAAAATCAGCATTGTTTTGTACAGAAAGGCTGAAACTTCAAATGAATAAACAGAATTCAAATACACAATAATCTTTGTTTCGTTAATGGTTTTCAGTTGCAATGTGAGCTAAAAGAAATTCACATAAGTATTACACAGTATTTATTATGATTCAACTTAGAATCAGGTTTTGTCAATAAAACTGATAAGCTTACAAAACAATTTAAAGCTTATATATGATGTATGTATGTATGTATGTATGTATGTATGTATCTATCTATCTATCTATCTATCTATCTATCTATCTATCTATCTATCTATCTATCTATTTCATTTATGGATAGTGTCAGTGTTTTGTATTAAAACTGAATGCTCCTAAACTTCAGCCTAGACCCAAATCTCTGTCTATTGAAAATTAAGAAACATTTCAAGCTGTATTTTGGCAAAGGTTACTCAGACAAGTTCAATAGTAAAACTACTGAGGTAAAAATATATTCAAAAGAAATCTTACCCACTGTTGGAGCCTTACAGATGCAGTCATAATGGGTCACGTCATTAATCTTGTACTCTGAGTTAATTGGGTAATAATTAGCCAGCTTCAGCATCTTTTTGAAAGCATCATAGATGAAAATGAAACTGATGAGGGAAGAGAAGCCTTCCTCTGTGAAGCGGGTGAAATACTGAACCAAGAAGCTGGCGTCTGTTGCCACCAAAACCAAGCAGAAGAATCCTGACCACAGACCAATCCACAGTCGAAACTCCAAGTAGTCAAAAGAATTGTCCCTTGGAAAAAAAAAAAAACATTTTTATAGCATTATTCATTTCAAACTTTACATTTGGAATGCAATGCACATTTTTCTACTGTTTCATTAAATCAAGATGATCATTAGCAAGTTATTTAAACTTCTCTAAAAGAAAAAAATAGTACTTATAGTCAGATGCTCACTTTATAGAATATATTTATAGCTCAGACAGCAGCCCAATGTTACAGAGTTAACTAAACATGAACGTGGTGATATAAAAAGCATCATATAACCTTTTTAAAATGTCTGCAAAGATACATTTGTTCTATGACAGGTTGATTAAACATTGAAGACATTACACAATACTGCCTAACAATGGTATATTAGGGGAACAATGAACAAACACATCTTTATGGCCACCTTCAAGGTCATTTGTCTTTTAAAACTATGAGTAAAACTAATCTGACCACAAAAGTGATTTTTTTTTTTACGCCTATTACATAATTTGGTTAAAATAATATAAATATTGTAAAAATCTTCAATAGCATGTAGTATATCAATCACCAAAACCGTGTAATGTGATGTTAAACTTGATGTTGGTATTGAAATCATTGCTGCCTGCACTCCGGTTTGAATAAAGGTACTGGATAAAGGAATGATGAATAAAGTAAACAAAAAAAGAGATGAATAAAGGTAATGAGTAGGTAATAAATAAATGTGAAACCTGCTGAAATTAAAAAGAAGTCTCTCGAAGACCAGCACTGGACCCGTACTACTGAGAATGGTGAGAGGTTGCCCTGCCAAGAGACAGAAGACTGCTCCGGAGATAGCGGTGCCCAGGAAGCTCTCCAGCACGCCCTTGAACACAAGCCAAAATACACCCAAGCAATCAAATACATATCATCTCTGCAGGATCTCTGTAGTGGAACAAAATCAGGTGTTTTGCTTAAAACCAACCATTCTATTGTTCTAAAAAGATATGCAACAAAATATCATAGTTACATCTTTGTTGTCAGGTAACTCCTACCTGCATATTTTCTGTGGCATCTCCAAGGAGGCCCCCAAAAGTAATAGCATTTGTTACAGTTCCCAGGTAGATAAATAGAATGGCTGACAGTGATTGGATATTCAAAGCATCATAAAAATCACTGGGAAAATAGGGAGCTTTCCTTTTGATATCTAGGAAGAGGCCACCAAAAAACCTAAAATAAACAAACAAATAAACAAACCAATAAGATAGTATATAATAAAAAACATGGAACCAAACTATAGCTGGGTGCTTTTTTAAATCAAAGGTGGGTTACATCACTGCTTTCCATGCTACCAGTCTTTTCTTATGTTAATACAGGGCAAAAACAGCTAGCAGTCATTAACATCCTAGCAAACGCAAGAATTGTGAGTAACAGCGTGCAAGCAGTATAAATCTGTGTTTTTCTGTGAAAATACAAAAAGTTGGTGTATACTTTTCGTTCTAGGAATAAAAACAGGTTACCTCCCTGTCCTCTTAAGTTCATTGCCAATTTGGTGGCCGCCTCCTTTATGTTCTCCGCCATTCATCTGCACAGTATCTGCTCCAGAATACATGTTCTTCCTGTAATATAGATGAACACCACAGAAAAGCATGGCTATGACGGTCTTATTGACTGTCTTAATGTGAATAATTGAAGTAACCAGACACTCCTTGTCCAGACAAGTGGCCCCTCTACGCGAGACACATTGTTCTAGTACTCGCGAGTCTCTACTGAGTCTTCATGGAATTATTTTGGAGATTTAATAATTAAACTGCTGGATATTACAATCCCTCCCAGGATTCCGAGCACAAAGTACCCCAAAAGCAAACACATACAAAACAACGTGATTCAAAGCAGAAATGTTATGTTCCACATTGTAACCAGCTACATAAATCACAACAGACAACAAAATATTCCATATACATTCCTTAACCACTTATCCAATGACAAATCTATCATAGAAAGCGCAGGCCGTGAGGCAGGGGGTTAACCTGGAGGAAATCAGCATAGCCAGAGGGAATGGGGGCATGGGGTTAAATGACATGATACCCCCACTCTGCATGTGAAAATTAGACGTCTTCCTCGTGTTCTTTACAGGTAACCAGTATTTATACAGAATAGTCATACATTCTTATGGAAGGAAAAGGAAATGTAGGTACGAAAAGTCAGATTTAAAAGACCATGTACAAACTGTGACATCATACGGGTTATAAATCTCACATATCGTAGAAACATTTGTGTGCGCACTTAACGAACTGCCTTATTCCCACCCACTAATTACCCTACAATGGCAAATTAGCCACGTGTATATGAACGTGAACATCCTACGTGCACGCCATTTCAGATACAATGGAGCCGCAAACAAGAGAGAGAAAAAAGGATTTTCTTAGCATTTAAAGTGCGTAGTTTATAGTGTTCGAAGTAGGGGAATGCCGAATATTATCTGATAGTCGGCCTGCTGGTGTGACAGAGAAAAGCCATATGGCAGCATGTGACTGCTGCTGTTAATGCAGTCAGGTCAATAAGCCAAAGACAGAAATAAAAGCAATGGCCGGATTCAAAATCCGTTGAACCTGGGTTCCGCTTCTCTATATGGTTGGTGAAATGGGGGTAATTACCCCCTTCACATTTGCGATTGGTATTAATACAAACTGTCTAAATTATGCTGAATTATGTAGCCTATAAATTTACTACTGTACGCACTGGGAGCACTAGGCCTGTTTTGGAACCATTACTAAAAATGCAGAGTTAACGGCACTGAAAAGTTTAAAACTTAATCACAAAAACAGCTAACGTGAGTGAGGCTGGTTGCCCAGACAAAGATGTGCTCCGTAACCTAGGCAAGAATTTTGATATTAAAGATACATTTACACTAACAAATGGTATGCATCACTAAAATTTTACAAGGCCTATTATATTATTCTATCTGATCCAAATCATTTCAGTATTGTTTTTGGGATTGTTTGTGAGTTTCTGCGATCTTTCAGCAAGCTCTAAAAATATTCCCGTTTAATAGCTTACGGCCAACTCACAAATGACTGAAAACGCGAGTGTTAATGGAGTCACTATACATATGGGTGCACAAGTGTTTGCGCTTATACTTAATTTGACTTTTCAATACGTACATATCTAACTTAGATTGCACCCAATAAATGTATTGGTATATATAAATTCAGTCATAAAAAAATAAAACAAACATTTAATTATATATTTAATTATATTATAAATTATATATCCAATATAATAATAATGTTTCTGTATTTATTAACACGCACTTCACTAAGCGCTAAAACCAAATCTAAATGCCAACTTAGATACACATCTCCATCTGACCTCTAGATGTCGTTCTTTTCTGTTTCCTCCAACACATTCATATATGTAACAACTTCTGCAGGTTTTGTTTGATGCTGTGCCTTTAAAAATCTGATTTGTTTTGTATAAATATGAATAGGAATGTTTCACAGCAATTCTACTCGTTCTAAGACTTTATAAATGAATTTTATCATTTTATTTTTTTATTAATTGACCAAAGACAGGTTGAAATGGCAACCATAAATTTCCTCCATGCTTGCTTCAGTCCTACACCACATATGCAGTTATGGAAAATGATGGATGGATGGATGGATGGATGGATGGATGGATGGAAGAAATAAACCTTTTTGGTCAAGTTTTTTTTCTACTTTTGTGGTGCAGAATGATACAGTGATGATAGTCAGAGTTCACCTTTTGTCTGTGGGTGGCAGAGACTTTGGTGGTTCTATCCTGATGGCAGGGTCCCACTCCGCAGGGGGAAGGACAATTACCTCATCTAGGAATTCATCAATGCCAGCCAGGAGATCCTGTCTTTCCTTGGCCTTGTATGCAATGTCATGGAAGACCTGTATACATCAAATGTTAGCAATAGAGGTGCAGATGCTGCAAGTCTACAGTTTGACACATAAATTGGCAAGTGAAATACTTACCTGACAGTATATATCATACATTACATAAAACATAAAATGTGTTGGAATATTACTTTTTTATTATACATTGTAGTTCCTACATTCTTTACACAAGAATCAAATCAAAAAAAGGGATATAGCATACTGAGAGTTTTAATACAAAAATGAGTGAGTTCACCCATCTTTAATATTTTACTTTCATACTGATGTTCAATGGCATAGGAGAGAGTTTGATATTGAGGAAACACACAACTTAATAATTTAAATGCAAAGGAGTGTTTATTGGGGGACAAATGAAGCCAAATTAAATATTGAGGGGATACGTTAAGTCAACTGCAAAAAATTAGCACCAACCAAGGCCAACGAATGATCGAATCCTGTTACTTGTAATTTGCACTGGAACACACCAGCATGACTAGAGTGGACAGCTGACATACTGCCCAATCAGAGAGCTCAGTTTTTCTTTATTAGCTTTATTGCCAATCAAACATGCTAAATCAGCCAAAACAATGCCAACAGAAACAAACCATGTCCGACTGCACCCGCCAGCTTTTGACTGCTGAAAATCGGCTTCATGTGTTCCAGGCTTCAAAGGGATTTGAGGGTTGTGGCTTTGGTTGAAACCCCTGGTGCTGTGCATGTGGAGTTTCAATTTTGACATGAGGTACATACACACCTCTATCGTTTTTATTGTGATGATATTCAATGCACCTGCCCTAATTATTATTATTAAGAAAAAGAAGGAGATACCCCTAAAGCTCTACACGTACAGAGTTTTCATATACTCAGTGTTTGTGTGGGATTTTCTTCAATGTACTCTGGTTTCGCTTAACGGTTCAAAATCATGCGCTGTGCTTGAGTACATGAGAAAGTGCGTAACTGTGTGTCTCAGTATATGCCCTGCAATGCACTGGCATCACACCAAGGGTGTATTCAATAAACAGTTACGGATAGACACATACTGTAGAACAGCATAAACAGATATATTAGTTTCCTATGTATCAGCTACTATGAGCACTTAAAAAATTACAAGATAGGGTAACATTTTACATTAACTGCACCTTCATAATGCATCGTATAATGTTTGCTATTAGTGTTTATACTACAACTTTGGTAAATACTATTTTTTATTGGTCCAGAGATGTCATGTGGGTGTTTATTATTGTGCAATGACATAGGTCACTAAAAGATCTGAGTTGAGTCGCACATGCGCTGTCGAACAAACCGTGTTAAGTTTTAAACTGTTAACGTAATAAAGGACTTCAGAACTGCTTATAACCTGCACCCTTAACAGTCATAGAACGTTATGGGCCATCTCATGTAGGCCTATTTGTATAAATGTTCATAATATGGCTGATTACCTTTAATTGTCTGTATTGACACCGGTAAAGCCTGGTTTTAGCTGCTTCTGCATTTGACTTTCAACAGCGGCTCATGTGCAACTTAAATCCATATTGACTGATTGATCAACATTTTGGCAAAATATTGGAGAAGTCGAAGCAATCCTTCATACTTTCATGACAGCGGACGGCGCCGCCCACAGGAAGTCGCGCCACGCCTACCCGACTATTTAACGGAGATCCCTCCTTGCGAGGTATTGTTGATTATGACACGTCCGAGCATTTCTAAATCTAACCACAATCTCTGTTACAGCTCTGCTCCGCCCGACTCTTCCTACTCCCTCTGCCCGCGCCTCCGCACCTTCCCACCTCCCTCCTGACCAGCCCTGATCTTCCCTCGTGGCTCCTCCTCGTGTGTGTCTTCCACGTCATCGGACTGATCTCCCGGTTCCCCGACTCCGTTGCACCCGGCTTCACGACTTCTCTTTTGGATCATCCCCTGGCTTTGGTAAACGGTTTCGGACGGATCTCTGGCTTTGACTCTGCTTGTGTTCTGGACCCGATTCTGTCTTGCCCCAATAAAGAGTTTCGGAACTCACCGAGTGTTCTGTCGTGACACATACTGTGCAGCTTTTGGCTGCAGAAATGGGTGTGGATCCTGCTCCAATAATATAACATTCTACTTATTTTTTTTTCCAGGTATAAACTATGGGTAGGTAGATCTTCAAGAAAAACGTATGAAACGTGTTCTACATGCAAAGTGGCAGCAGGGGTTATAATACAATTAAACACCTTACCTTGTTCGGGTAACTAGCGATCCTCTTCATTTCGGCAAATAATTTACCATAAAATAATATATTTAAGATATTTTGCCATTAATTTGTTAGCAACATATTGCGAATGAAAAGTACGTGGCATTCTCTGGAAACAACAATCGGAGATACGCAAGAGTAAAGGGAGTTGCTGCTTCCAGTGAATAGCCTGTCCAGACGTTCTATCCTTATAGGGACTATATTTTTAAGAGTACAACATTATTAAATGCGAATTGAAAATTTTCTTCCAAAAAATTAATTGTGATTAGTTTATTCTATTATTATTTTTGTTCATTAGTCCTGGTATAAACCATATGCACGTCGAGGTGTGTGGTTATACGAAAATAATCGACAGCTTGGTGTAATGCATCCTGACGCGATATAGTTGCACTGAATGTTCTATGAATGCCTATAAAATGCATTATGAAGGTGCAGTTAATCGTTACTCAAAATAGTAATTGAAATCCAGATGACTATGTTATATACTATGTTAGGATTGTCTTTGTATCTTATTAAATATTTATGATGCTTACTTCATCAGACATTAATGTAGCAATTGCTCTTCCAATTTCATGATAGGACTTTGCATTGCCTTTGGGACCCAGCAAGATAAACAAGAATCTGAGGAGGAAATTCATAAAATAATTATGCAGTTTTTATATAGCCTAAATTCTTTTTTTTCATAATTTGTTCTCCCAAGGTCTTGCCTATTGTTCAAATGCCATTTTTTTTTTTAAATACAGTCATACCTGGTTGGAAGAGGAACCTCAGTCAGAGCTCCCAGCATAACAGCTTGCCGCAAGCGGACGAATGCCACTAATGGTGAATCTAAAAAGTCAACTTCTCCCACTAATATATTGGAGGCTTCTGCATCTTTTGGTAGCTTCTTTATAAACTTGTTCTTCAACTAAAAGCAAAAAAGTCAAAGTATATATCACATTCATAGCCACATAAAATATCAAGCTGAATATTTACTGTACACATGGCACTAATCATAATTAAAGAACTGAAATGTTGTACCTTTAATTCAGATGGAATATAATCAATCCCATCAAACATAAAGTGTCTAAACGAAGCATTAATTTTACTGTATCTCACATTGCTTTGCTGAAGAACACATTAACTCTTTTGTCTCTTTGCTTTAGTAACCTAAATAGGGGTATGTTTATATTTTCTTAAGAGGCTACACATATCAACCTATCAATGCTCCAACCAGCTTTGTGTGTTTTGCCAAATAAATTTGTACCCAAGTATCTGGGGGAAAACTTTTTGTGAACTACTTAGTTAGTTACTGGAGGATGGAACAGGGCAATTTCATTGACAGCTGTGGGATGCAACTTCTCTAAAGAATTTCCCTCTACTACTGGATTGCAGTTTGTGGCTCATAAAAGCCAAGAAAAGAATAGAAAAAAAGAAATTCCAACCACCACAACACAACAAATCAAATCTGCAACAAACTTGCCTATTCCATGTCTCAGCACTTAATTTCCTTTCCAAGGCATCCCAATCCCACAGACAGTAGTTTCCCCTGAAGCCCAAAGCATCTGTCACCTGTATTTTACACCTGAATTTTACACGTCGCCTGTATTTTATACCTGCCACCCGTATTTCATACTTGCCACCTGGATTTTATTTCACACCTTTAAGTTATAAGTCAAGTGTTCTTAAACACAGACAGTTTTTCCAATGCTGGGGAAAAAAATAAAGTCAAAAAATAAATCAGTTATTGCCTTAAAGCATTTACCAGCTGTTTTCCTTATAATTAAATACAAGAACCATGTTTTTCTAAACTACAATAGCACACATACCTGGTGTTTATCTGGTTTTTCAGAAACATATAAGCTGCCTGGTGCTACAGTTTGATGGGTAGTTGCTGGGCTACCTGTATAAATGGAAAACAGAGGGAAAGCCATAAAAGTCATTATGCTGTTATGCCTGATACAGCACTGCACAGTACATAAATGTAGACAGTCATGACAACTCAAAACTAAAGTGTGATATGTGTGCAGAATGGAAAATGATTTGTGGAACAGGAGTGTTTTGATTTGCACTGGTTTAGGCACCATAATAGGATGAAGTAAATACCACAAAGACAAATGCTAGCAAAATATTATCAGTGTAAAAGTATTTCATCACTGCTTACAATTTTGTTTGTCATATGAGTCAATTTCATTTGGATTGTTTTCATAATAATACTATTATTATAATAATAACATTTTATACAATAAGCTTTGTTTTATTGCCAGTTGGTTGGAATAAATATAGAAATCATTATGAGAAACACATGTCACATGTAGAATAGACTGCTGTCACTGTAGAACTATATTTATTAATAAGGGCTTCCATCCATTCATCATCTGCCGCTTGTCCGGGGTTCGGGTCGCGGCGGCAGCAGCTTCAGGAGAGGCACCCAGACCTCCCTCTCCCCAG